AATAGTATTTGTATATAATTTTTATATCTGTTATAATTCAGATATCTTTATCTATATCTATTTTTTTAATTATTTGAATTTATTTTAAGAAGAATATATATAATAATTTATTTTAATCAGCTATCTTTATAGTAAATCCTTTCTTTAATCCTTTTATAAATAGTTTTTTATTTTAATCTTAACTTATTATATATATCTGAAGACTTGGTATATAAAGATAAAAGCTTAATAAACTATAGATTATTAATAATGATTTATAGTTAGTTTCATTTTATAATATATAATAAGAAGTTATAAAAGAAATTTTTTTCTAATTATAATTAGAAAAAATATATGAGCTTAACAGTATAAAAAGTTTAATTTATATTAATATATTATATTTAATATAGTTATTACTTACATCACTAAGAATTTAATATAGATATATTTTTTTATATAGTCTGGGAGGTACGGGGAAAATCTTTATATATATTATATTAATTATATACTATTAAACTCAGAAAAAGATTATATTATATATAATATTAATTAATATAGTATTATTATTACTTTCAGATAATTATATAATATATAAGTACTTTTATATTTTAATTATTACGTAAAATACTGATATATAAGAACTCTTTACAAAATATCTTTTATTATCTGGAAAAAGATATTAATAATTAGGTAAGATATTTTTAATATGGTTAATTAAATACTTCAGAATATGTGACAGGGTTTGCTAAAATATTTTAAGCTATTTAAAAAAATCTTAATTTTATTTAATAATGATTTTTAGTAAATCTTATCTGTTATTTTTTAAAAAAATTATATAATAATAGTAAATACATACCTGTAAAAGTTAAAGATTTGGTCTTATCTAAAATTACTTAAGTTAAAAAAGAATATATATCTTTACTTAATGAATATAAAATATTAAAAAATAATTAAGTAGTTAAATATATTATTATATTTTCTAATTAATATTAATACATGTTTACATTAATATAAGACTATATATTGTATTTTTTTTAATTTTAATGATTAATTAGTATTTTTTTTTCTTTTAGATAAGCTCTATATAAAACAAGAATATTATAAATTAATTATATTATCTTCTTATATCTTAACAGTCTCTGAGATAGATATATTTATATATTCAATCCATCTTAAGCAGGATTTAATAGTATTTAACTATATCTGAGAGAAATACTTAGTGTTTTTAAAAGAATTTAATGTTTTTCCTATTAAAAATATAGATATAAATAACTTTACTAATTATTTATTAATTTACCTGTCTGAATATATTATATTACTCTTTTTTAGTAATATCTATATTAATCAGGCTCTGAATATAAAAAAAATTTGTTTAATAAGCTTTTAGAGCTTTCTAACTAGCAAGATTAATATTAAGATAGATTATCTGATTATATTATTATAAAATCTAAACCTGTAAAATAGATTGTATAATAAAATATATTTAATAATTACTAAAATTCAAATAAATCTATTACTTAAAAATGAATATTTTAAAGGATTATTTTAATGGACAGTTACAAATATTTTTTATTATATCTTTTTAGTCTGAAGAGAGTAAGCTTTTATATATATTATATTGAATATATTTTTTTATATATTTTATTTTTTTTATAATAATTAATAAGGCTCAGAATTAATTCTTATATAATATTAATATTAATCTACAGGTTCTGGTATTCTTGTATAGTTATCTCTATATTAATATATCCTAGACTATATTAGTCTAAAATTTAAAGATCTTTTTATTAGTAAATAATAAGGCGCATGTGATATAGAACATTATTTATTTAAAAATCTTACAGTATTTTAAAGAGATTAAGATATAGGCTGGCTTTACTAAATATAATATAATATAATATAAAAAGTATAAATGTATTACTTTTATTATTTATAATTAGTATATTATATTAACTACTGTTTTATTATTAGAATTAATTACTGTTTTATTATTATTATTCTATTCTTTTGATTTGTGGAGACTGCATATTTATTTATATTTATATTTTTTTATTAATTATCTATTATATATTTTATTATAACTATTTAATTCTTAATATAGTAAATAATAATTTTTCTGTCTCGCTGAATATTCACTGTGTATAAAGTAATTTAATCAATATTAATAATATATCTATAAATCCTGTTAAAATAGTATTTAATATTAAGATTTAAAAATCTTGATTAATATTTTTTAATAATCTTAATATTTTTTCTAATAATATTAAGATTACTGTTAACTTCTATAATTACTGAAAATAGAAGACTTCAATTAATACTATTACTTTTTATTATAAATATTGATATAGATTCAATCAGACAGGATCTTTCTTATAATTTCTATATATACAGAGTAGTTATTTATGTTAATATATAATTTATCTTATGATTTTATCTTATTATTTATCAAAATTAATTTACTGGGTGATCCAGATATACATGTTTATAAGATTATGTTATTTTTATAAATATATATTATATTATTATTTATTAGCTTAATATTATTTCAGATAATTAACAAGAATAAAAATAAAAAGATTCTAATTATATAGATAATAATATATAATTATAATATATATTTAGAAGATATATTTTTATATATTATTTTTTCAGTTATCTATATATTTTTTAAGATAAATTACTAAGATAAGGTTTTATTTCTAATATCTGGTTGTATAGTATAAGTCTTTAGTACTTTAATTAATTATTAATCCTATTAAAATATTCTTATTCTAGTATTAGTTATAGAGAGCATGTTATATATATTATATGATTTTAATATTATAAATATTATTATAAATATCATTATTATATTAATTAATTAATCCTGCTCTGAGAAAGTGTTACAAGATTTTAAATAAAAGCTTTAATATTAAGATATACTCTCTATAATCTTTGATTAAAGTTACTGTATTCTAGTCTTTTAAACCTATATCAGAATCTATAATAAAAGTAATTATTAAACTTATTAATAAGCCTGCTCTGCTAATTTCTATATTTAATTAAATAACTCTTACTCATAATTTTTAATATCTCAACTTATTTATATATAAGTAGTACCCGCAGTTTTAAGATATAAATATTTATAACTTCTTATAAAGAATATTTTTATAAGAATATTAAAAATAAATCTGTATATGAGAAATTTTATTATAGATTTTTTTCTAAATTATATTCTTCTTATTTTTTATTTTATAAGTAGTCCTCTTCCTGTATCTTCTTTTCTTTAATATTAATTCTTTTTAAATCTGTAAATTATACTAACATATATTTTAATTTAAAAATAGTCTCTAATAATAGTAAAGAGGAGATATCTATTATTAAAAAGTTTAAGACTGAGAAATCTGAGTATAAATCTAAGTTATTAAAGCTAGAGCTGAAGCTGAAGTTAAGATTTAAGACTTCTGTTAAGATTAAGACTGATACTACTTAATCTACTTTTAATATTTACTTTAATACTATTTTGAAGCTAGATACTCTACTTCCTACTATCTCTACTCCTATTTCTCTACTAGCTTTAATAAAAAATATAGAATTAAAGACACAGGTATTATTACTGAAGAAGAAACAGATACTAAGAAAAAAGATTCTTAATAATAAAAATCAGAATAATAATATTAAGAGTGATATTAAGATCTGATATATTTTATATTATAAGATCTTGATAATACTTACCGCGTGTTAACTATAACTATAGTTATAATTATTATAGTTTATATTACAATCTATATATAGTTAGTTTAACAATGGATTTATCAATAAAGATCCCTATTTTTTTCATTTTATTATACTATAAGATAATATAGATTAATCTTTATAAATTATAAGTAATTATAAAAGATTAGTTCTGCATGATCACATATTATGTTTCTGATTATATTATCTTCTCAGTATATGTAGATATGGGAGAGATGAGCATATAAAGGCGCGGTCGCAACTCCTTGTAAAATGTATTTTCAGAAAATCTTTAATAATTCAACCACCATAGTCCGGAGCTTTAGGATTTTGATATAGAAATATAACTAGAATATTAAATTTACATATATCAAGATATTTTAATACTAAATTCTGAATTACAATTTATATTAACAAAAAACTGAAAAGTAGTCTATAAATCAAGCATGGAATGAAGTATTTTTATAATCTAGTATAGTTTTTATAGATTAATTTACATTTACTAGTAAATAATATAATCATAAAATCTATACTAAAATTTGAAAACTACAGCTCTTATAATGGTTGAGCTATTAAAGATATCCTGAAAGTACTTTTTATATAGAAATCACATATAAAAGTGACTGATTTATTGAGCTGAGGGGATCCGTCGAGCTGTGGCCGACCCAACCCGGTGGGTTGGGGTGGGTTGGCGGCGCGACGCGTAGATACCTATCTAGTACATATGTATTCCATCCTATACCTGCGGTCCTCTCAGGGTCTGGGCTGGGCAAGTGGAGCAACAAGCCCGACAACCAGGGACACCCACCCTTTGTTAACCGATAACCATGAGGAAAACCTCCTCTGGACTTTGTCGTGAATAGGTGGAATCTCAGGGCCGGGATTAGGTATTGTTACGGAGTACTATCTAGAGTAAATTACCTCCAGCCCAGACCGGGACGTTCAGGGTCAGAAGGTTGAGCTCTCTCGATAGATAGGTAATAGGTAAATTCTTGAATACACAGTAGGGAGTAAACTAGTAGTATACTACATACACCTGATCCACGCTGAAAACGTGGACGGTCGCGTGATTTCCGATCAGCACACTAAGTAGCTGGCCTACTTAGGTATTCCGTACTGCTGTCAAGGCAGAGTAGTACTATGTAGAGACTAAACCCGAGCGGACGGCTTAAAAATAGTAGTACTATGTAGTTACCTATAGAAGGCATACACTACTCCGCCCTCCACCCTCTCCCCAGCGCCAGGCTATAAAGAGAAAAGGGATAAAGGGGGGTTGGGAAGAGGTACTCCGTACTAAGCATGATAGACCGCGAGTCTGGAAGCCGTGAAAGGGCCCAGGAGAGCCGAATCGGGAAAAGATAGCAAAGCAGACAAAATCTTTGCTGGTCACATGCGGTCCCGGAGTTCGGGCGCAGCGGGCAAATCAGTGATCAGGCCCATTCACGCCCGGGGCTGCCGAGCCGCTTATTGGTGGGACAATCCTGATTGACGCCGCGACACCGTCATAGCGACCCGCCCCCATTATTTTCTCCTTCCAGTCCATCCCATTCCCGGATTCCGCCTGTCGGGGAGCTCATGACGCAGCCACCAAAATTCCAAAAGGTGGAAGGTTACCCGGCCATTGATCCATCTCATTCCTCCTCTGTACCCTCAATTTCTTTGACGGTATCATTCAAAGTGGACAAAAGTGGACAAGTGGTCCGGCATTCCTCATCCCTCGCATCCTCCTCCTCTCCCATCCCCCACGATACTTCAATCCCCGTCATCCCCGTCCACCCCGTCCAGCCCGCGTCCCAATTTAATCACTCCAATCTCATCCTATCCTCTCTTGCCTTATACGTAGGGAGTACTGCAGCATATACATCCCTTGGATCTCACCCACTTCCTCTCCGTCCTTCTTGCTTGTCCCTGCATCCACATTTTCTCTTCTTCTCACACCTGTTTGGCTTCTTGGATAAGTATTGCTGAGGAAGGTATGCCGCTCCAAACCCTGTTCACGTCTGCGCATCTATCAGACACCACAGCCCCTGGGTCAATGTCCGACTGATATTTGTGTGTGTGAAGTGTGTTTGGATATAGAACATACAACACGCCTTTATTTTCTCTAGAAAACTCCCCTCCCCGTTACCTTAGTCGTGAGGATAAAACGCGATCCGCCTTGATCGTTCGCTGGTCACTGGGGCCCGTTAGCTGAAGATCCGACTTGCCCGAACACAATGGCCTCTCGTCAGTCGCGTAGGGTTTTGCGGCCTCTCCTCTATACTTCGCTTGCTGCTGCTACAGGAGCTGGTGTACTCTACATTTCCTACCGCCCTCGCAATATCCCTGGCTCGGAAGCCCCTGCGGTTCCGCCACCGGGGTACCATGAAGGCAAACTCGTACCCCCAAGCTTTCCCACAATTAAATCTCGCCTGGAACAGATTCAAGAGCTCAAGCGCTCTTCTGGTGGAAGCAACCCTGATGAGTATGATCTGCTTGTCATTGGCGGCGGCGCCACTGGATCGGGTATCGCCCTTGATGCTGCCACACGAGGGTTGAAGGTTGCCATTGTCGAAAGAGACGACTTCAGTGCTGGAACGAGCAGCAAGAGTACAAAACTTGTCCATGGTGGTGTTCGGTACCTGGAAAAGGCCGTCTGGGAGTTGGATTATAACCAGTCAGTTTCTTTCTACGCCTCTGTCGGAACCGGCCGTGAAACGCTAATCATCTTTCCGTCGTAGATACAAGCTGGTGAAGGAGGCCTTGAGGGAGCGAAAGTATTTCTTGAACACTGCACCACATCTTTCCAGCTGGCTCCCTATCATGGTACCGCTGCAGAAATGGTGGCATGCCCCTTATTTCTGGGCGGGAACCAAATTCTATGACTATCTGGCTGGGTCTGAGGGAATTGAGAGCTCCTATTTCCTGACTAAGAGCAAGGCTATTGATGCTTTTCCCATGTTAAGAAAGGACAACTTGATCGGTGCCATGGTATACTATGGTGTGTAACAACCAAACCCCTTCCAGCCAGTTGGTTACCTGTCGCTAGTCGCTAACGGTGTACATATAGATGGTGCTCACAACGACTCTCGGATGAATGTTTCTCTCGCGATGACGGCTGCGCTATATGGAGCTACTGTTGTCAACCACATGCAGGTCACTGGTCTAACGAAAGACGCGTCCGGGAAACTGAACGGTGCCCGGCTCAAGGACCTAATTCCTGGACGAGATGGCCAGGAGGCGGAGGAGTTTACGATTAAGGCAAAGGGCATTATCAATGCAACTGGGCCCTTCACCGACTCGATCAGAAAGATGGACGAACCTGACGTAAAAGAGATTGTGGCCCCGAGCTCCGGCGTCCATGTGATCCTCCCTGGCTACTACAGCCCTTCGGATATGGGCCTCATTGACCCATCTACATCGGACGGCCGTGTTATTTTCTTCCTCCCCTGGCAAGGAAACACCATTGCCGGAACGACAGACGAGCCAACCGAGATCACACCTCAACCACAGCCCTCTGAGAAGGATATCAATTGGATTCTCTCGGAAGTCCGTAATTATTTAGCCCCGGACATCAATATTGATCGAAGCGATGTGCTCGCTGCCTGGGCCGGAATCCGCCCTCTGGTGCGTGACCCCAAGGTGAAGAGTTCCGAGGCCCTGGTTCGCAATCACCTCATCTCTGTGTCTGCATCCGGACTTTTGACCTGCGCTGGCGGCAAGTGGACTACCTACCGGCAGATGGCTGAAGAAGCAGTAGATGAAGCCATCGACGTCTTCGGCATCAAACCGCGTGGAGTGTCTGGCGCCCCAGATATCAGTGGAGTCGGGGGAAGCGGCCTTGTCTCTGACGGCGCAGTTCTTGACGGATCTTGTCAAACCCACCAGGTCCGCCTGATTGGAGCTCATGGCTTCTCCAAAACGCTCTTCATCAACCTTATCCAGCATTTCGGGCTGGAGGTAGATGTGGCTAAGCACTTAACAGAGTCATATGGTGATCGAGCCTGGCAGGTTGCGGCTTTGTCAGCCCCGACAAATGCACGTTTCCCTGTACGAGGTCAGCGTATTTCCACACTTTACCCATTCATTGACGGTGAGATTCGCTATGCTGTGCGCCACGAGTACGCACAGACTGCCACCGATGTTATTGCTCGCAGAACTCGCTTGGCATTCCTGAATGCTGAAGCAGCACTCGAAGCCCTTCCTAACATTATCGATTTGATGGGTGAAGAGCTGAAGTGGGATAGGACCAGGAAAGAGACAGAATGGAAAGAAAGCGTCCATTTCCTTTCCTCCATGGGTCTGCCAAAGAATTTCCTCGACATGACGAGGGAGGATGTCGAGGCGGGCAAAGTGAAGCAGGTGGATATTGCACAAAGAAAGACCTTTTCTCGTATTGGTGAGTCGACACTACACCGGAAATTCATTCCTGAGTAGAGTTGCTAACAACGTGTAGATCCGCCAGCAGATGTGCTCAGTAGTGACATTCCCACGCCAGATACAAACCAGCTGATACACTCCGATTCCCCGGCAAACAAATAGACAGTTGCGAGCTATAGAGAATTTGCTTTTGTATAAATAGTCTAGATGTATAATTTGATACCATAATGTATTATGGGCCTGACTGATCGCTTCTCTTTACCTACCTCTCTTATACTTACATATCGGCCCCCATCCGACCGTGGACAGGCGCTGGTGATCCATACTGATTGATGTTGCCAGCTCATATTTCGTTGTGGATGGCGTCGAAACCAAGGCCGCAGTCGATAAGCAAATGGATGGGCAATATTGCCAGATCGCTGCATGCAACGGGGACCCAATGCCTATTGAGAAAACATGGAGGAAACTTTGCTGCGGCATAATTCTCTTCACCTGCCATTTGACTGTCCTTAGTATAGGCAGTGCCTCCCTGTTTCTGCCTTGCCCTGCCACCGGCCTCTGCCTACCGTTGATCATGATGCTTTTTGCTCGATGCCGTGGACATTATTCCCAGTACCTCCTTCCGATTTATAGGTCAGAGTTAGTTATGCGCTCGCCCCATTATGGTATGGAACAGTGCGCAAAGGCGCTCCGGCGCTGATACCTCTCAGCTGCATGAGAATGGCATGGAGCTTGCGAGGAAATTGAACCAGGGAGCCTCCCAACCACAACCGATTCGCGAGGGAGAAGATCCTTTTAGAAAGGAATTGATGTGGAGGTGGAATACAAAACGTTGACTTGGTGGTGAGAAACTTCCAACAATTTGATACTTGAGAAGTGCTGATCTTAGCCCAGACAAGTGGGAATGAATGAGTCGACATCGTCTCACACTATGTAACACGTATGTAGCGTTTTAACGAAGCCAGTCATGATAGCGGAGACCATATTGCTTGAATTACTTGCTCTTCCAAAAGTGCTAGCTACATTGGGGCTCCTCCCGTAGGATCTCCTGCCTCGAAGGAATCACCATCGCCCCGTCTAGGCTAACGTTAACGGCGTTGCCGTAGTCGTGGGAATCGGGCTTCTGACCACCTATAGGGGACTCGTCATTGGCGAGTTTAAATGTCGCTACGCCCAAACACATATATGATGGCCATATACCGTGGGGAAGGTTTGGCTGTGAGATCCTGGATGCTGCATAGCTGGTCTTCATCAACTTCATTATGGGTAGTCATATATTGAACTTCTTCATCATAATGAACGTTCTCACTGGATAATTAGGGTGCATAATTCTGTTTTAGTGACTGGGGCGTTGGTTTCTTTCGTTCTTGCCATCTCACGTCGTCTCGAAAGCTTATCATTCCTCTCCTCCATCAACTTTACTAAAATCCTCGGGGCACTCTTTGCAAGCATGGTTGGGGCATTTCTTGACAAGACAGGCCATCGCCATTCGCTGGCGTCGTCTATGTTCCGCGATGCATTTGTTGCCGTTGCAACTGTTGTTTTTGCGTATGCAGGACATGTTGCCTTCTTCACATTGTTTCCGGAGTTCCGAGATGTGAAAGCTTACCCGAAAGCATTAGTACTGTTGCAACTGAGTAAAATAATGCTCTATAGAGCAACGGCCATTGTAATATACAAGTTGTTTGGGCCGGATGTCACTATCTCTCTACTCAGCTGGGCCATTGTCCAGGATGATCTCGCATGGGAGTGCAATTCCAACAGCGAGCGGACTGTCATTACTCTTCTCAGTCAACTAGTTAAACACACAAGCAAGTCTGTGATTGCAGGAGTTGTCAACACCCATGTCGCGGCGAAACGCCATGCACTCACATTTATTCAGGGCAATGTCCCTATATGCGCCATTAACTGGCTCGGTGCATGGATACTAGTAGAAAGCATACCAGTATTTAACGATGTATCAGGGTTTGCGGTGAGAACTTCGAGATGTTCCCACGGAAGGTCATCCGGCACGAAGAACTGTCCCATCCCATTGCAGGTCATTGTTTGCCAACTGGTCCATTTTCAGTCTTCCCGGGATTTTTATTACATTCAGACGGGATGCGGGCCCTACAATTAGAAACAGACCATTTTTATGGGTTTCAGTTATGTCATTGTCGTCATTGGGATGGTACTAATAATTCAAAAATAGGCAGTTTGCTACGTCGAATTGTTTTAGTGCATTTTTGGGGTATACTCCTCTATTGCATCAGAGTCCGAGACTTTCCTTGCCCGGGATCATTCTAACAGGTCATGTACTACCCATAACTGGCCAGGCCAAGAAGAGAAATGATGAACAGGTATGCTAATGACTTTATATCCTGTTAGATCAACAGTAAGGCCTGTGTTGTCTGCTACGATCTTCTCTTCTTCTTGACTCTGTTGATGATTTGAGCGCTCAGCTGCTTATTTGGCCCTGCAACACCATCTGATACTTATCAGTATTGAGTACGAGAAGGTTTTAATGGAGGATCTCATTATATTGCTAATGTCCTCTGTTCATAGACCTGCAGGTATAGCTCAAATAAGTCTATAGTTCATGTGTCCTCAAATATTTCCAAGTGGCACTAGCCTGGCATTGACTTATCTTCCAGGCACAGGGAAAAGAGTTGAGATATCTAGAGTACCAAGATAGAGCTATATACTATCTACGAATTGTCATCTCTGACATGTGGAGTAGTGCGTATTCCTTTGGGTCGCCCGGTGTGATACTTACTACTGAGACAGGGTCCTAGCCGACTCTATGGTAATGAAAAACACTATGGTTTATAAACAGCCTCCACGGCACCTAGTGTATAAGCGAGGGTTTTGCGCAAATTGTTCAAGGTAGTTCACCTATAGCTCTCAGTTCCATGCATGTTCTGGGTATCTGGTAATAGATAGCGAAAGGCTATCCATGAGTAGATACCTACCAATAGGCACTAGGTAGGGCCTTGGTAGCTGGACGTACTCCGCAGATACATACTTAGTAGTAGTAGTCGCATCCATTCACTATCTACTAGTAGTAAGTACTGTGTACTAGAGTATGTAGATTTACTAGATTGGAGAAGGTGACATCAGATCCAGACTCCACAATAATATTCAATCAGAAATCTTGTCCGCGCGCGGGAGCCCGATTTGGATGCAACCTGGACAAGCGCCTAATTACACGGAGATGGTACCCCTTTACTGAACATCTTGCAGGTCTAGGACCTTGCCTTTTGAAGCAGAGATCTTCATCGATCATCTGTTTTATAAACAAAAGATCACTAATATCCTGTATTAGAATATCTAGAATAACACACTCTACAGAATACATATATACTCTGTATATATATCTAATAAGAATATCAACTGTTCTTAAAATCCCTAAGGATCTCAATCACCCTAACCATGCTAATAATCCTAACTACCTTAATTGCTCTAATTACCTTAACCCTAATCACCTCAAGAACCTCAATCTTGAAGCTTTAAGTATGTGATACTATCTCTATGCTTTACCATACAAAACAGGTGGAGTAGCAGAAATACTGCTATTTTAAGAAGAATACCAGGTCTGTAGTAAGATGTTAGATGGGTAGGGTACCATCCGCGTAATTAGGCGCCTGGACAAGGTTCCTGTTCGATTTTCGGCCTTTCCCAGTTGCCGCTCCCCGCCCCCACCTACCCGAGAGTCATAGACATCAGATACACCCAGTACGGAGTACCGGTAGGAAGTAGTACTTAACCACTTCAGAAGGCAACGTCCTCGTACCTTGAGTTCCAGCCACATAATATACTAGGAATATAGCTATATGATAAACTGCCGTCATTGGCTTGCAGGTACAGCCATAAGGGCCTCGTGCAGAATTATAGTGGATGTGTAGCTGTATATCCATCGTACGCAGGTGCCTCTTTAGCGTCATGGATTTGTACAAAGGTACGTAACCACTGTCTGGTACGTCCGGAATACCTAGCCCGTGCCCGACAACCATGTCGCATTCCGCTTCCGAGTCCCTAATGTAAATTTAGGGACGTATCTACAATGTGCCTCGCAAGGTGAGCTTCCCCACCTCCTACTCAACTGAGTATGGATGGTCCTAGGTGGTCTTGGCCTGGTTACTCCACTTTAAGAAGGTATGTATGCGTATGGATGGTCCATCGCGTACTAAATAGTGCAGGGCAGCACTGAGACTGAGTATGTACATGACCATCTCAGCTGATAGGTCAGCAGAGCAACCTGGAAACCCTCCAGGGTAGAAGGTCGAGTGCGGGGCCCGGGGAGAAGAGGCGGACGGTTTCGTGTCGATGATGATGATGATGATCCCGCTTTGACTGGTGGAAATGAAACGATGCATTAAGAAATGAGCCCATGGCCTGTTGAAAGGTGAAATATTGAATGATAGAAGAGATAGATAGGAACGACAGGACAAGTCGGAACAGTAAGGAGGACCGTGATTGTATCAGGGAATTTCAACGAGAACATTAACCCATAAAGATAACGGAGAAAGAAAAGAAATTAGAATGATGATAGAAAAGAAAAAAGAGAGGGCCGGTCGTTTAAAATTGGCCCTTTCCACCAGTTCAGGCATCTTAAACAGGTACATTTGGAGACGGCTATATCTGAGTGTTCTCACCCGCTCGGGTATCGGGCCAACCAGGTCGGACACGAGAATCGAAATGCGTGATCAATTCTCTTAACATACCATGACATGAGATATAGCTGGTATTCCTCGAGCCCGCGTACCCCAGAGAGCCCCATATGCAAGTGCTCATTCTCACCTGATAAACCCATCGTCTTCTTGCCACATTTCAATTTCTTGTTTGCCTTGGCAGACCGACGAGGTTGTGAACTGGGAGTTGCTGAGCGGTTGTTGCTGAGTAAGGCTCTCTGTTTGATCCTGCTTGATCCGACTGTCTAGATCAATCAGGGCCTGACGTCCGCAGTTCTTTTTGAGCCTTGAGCCCGAAGACGGGGTGAGCGTATAGATGACAATTGATGACGGGGCAACGGTCACTAAGTCTTGCTTCCGTTGGAGGCTGAGTGATTTGGGCGATAATGGTTCCAAAACTGCTCCACAGCTCTTCGGCCCTCGGGCTGCTTCCCATAGCGATAGATGAAGTAATTAAACAAGGCGAACTCCTCGCGATTGAGCACGTACTCCGGCTCATTTTTGATCCGTTCCCATAGCTTCCCGACGGCAGCTTCGAGGATAGCGGCCGTGCCAGAGTCACCTTGATTATCTCTGGCGCGGTCCAGGGCGGTTCGTACTTCGGGAGAGGATGCAGAGTCGGCCATCTGGAGCAGCTGTATCTTGTGCTTCAGAATAGGCACGGTTCATGGAGGATTGGGTTCTTGAGAAACGAAGATAGAAGAGTCCCGCGGGTACTGCAGAATGCTCGATGCTTAGGGAGGGCAAGCCAGGTTGATGACAGTGGAAGAAAGGGGGTTGAGGTAGAATGATCCCTGACCTTTTCATCAAAAATTTTTTTTGGCGAACTGTCTTTAGCAAGCTCCGACCTTCCCCATTTAACATTGTCCAGGTGGAGTAGGGGGTTTGGTGGGCAATCGTGGATCGAGTCTCTTACAAGGGACAATAATACTAATCATTCAATAATACTAAGAATATTTAAATGAGACTAATAATGCCTCCAAAGTAATTCTCTGAGTATGGAATAATATATTAATGATATTAAATGAATGGACGTGCTGGCGCCGGGGGAACATCCAGGTTTGAACTGTTTTGCCTTTTTGTATTTATTTAATTCCAATTCCTTTACCCCCCTTTCGTCCACTGTTTCTCCCTATCTTTTTTTAAAAAAGTTCAATACCGCTCCCCCCTTCTCCTATGTCTTGTCCAATCGTCGGATAGGCCCTTCGTAGATTCAGCCTGGAAATCAAGAGCGTTTTTTTCAATCTAAGTAATTTGTTGATCTAATTTTTTTTTTTTCATTTCTAGCCTACAGAGTTCTGTCTGTTGACCCAATCCGACTCTATCTTTTCCGTTGTGCCTTTTGAGAACCTAAAAATAAGGGGAGGGAGAATCCGTTGGCGTTGTCCACCACATCGTCTGGAATACTTCAGGCCGTGCTGTATGTGCGGTATGTACGGAGTACTATGTAGATACATAAGAGGGGACAGGCTGCAGTGGTGGGGTTTTCGGGCTCCCTATTTCCACTTTCTCTTTCTCCTTCGCGTTCACCCTCTTTAATTTCCCTCCCATTGCTCTGATTTGTATGGCCATGTGGCAGGTGGGGTTCTGTACGGGCTCACCCGCTGTAGCAGCGTCTAGTATTGAGCCCTTGGCGCAACGGTTTTCCTCGCGTTGGGAAAAGTGTCAGATTTGGACTCCACGGTAGGGTAAGGATGGTAGGGTTGCGAACCTGGCCGAAACGAGCGGCTCCTGCTGGTTGGTACTACGTATGTAGATACTAGCCAGTATTGGAAACTGGTTACGTACGGATCGGTGGTAGTCATCCGGTAACTACGGGTAATCCGTCTAGGCACAGCCGGCGCTTGAACGAATCCAGAAACCGAGGGTAGTACTCCTGTTCCGTAGACGGCTGGGTCACCAGTGGGCGCTCGTTACGGAGTAAATGGGGTCAAGAAGTGTCCGCACTTTTTACGTAGTAGATAGAACTTAATACCAGCCGGGCTGGTACGGTATGTAGTCTATCATCCAGTCATGAGTGACCGGCTTGTCGGAATATTAGATTAATTAGGGGTAATCCGTAGATAAAAATCAAAAGGAAAAGGCGAAGCACAGTGGGAAAGGAGGATGATTTTGGAAAAGAACGGCGGGTTGAAGCAGAAACTAAGAGAAGTACTACTAGGTAAGTGCTTAGGAGAGCGCGTACATATGTATGTAGTATGTACGTAGTATGGACCGGGCACATGTGGATATCATGTAGTAGTTCTAAGTACCTAGGGATCGCGAATGAGTCAGTCCTGCGAGAAAGTTCTCCTTGGATCGCCATGGGTGATGGTTGGCTTGGAGAAATTCGGACTGCTTCCATGAGTTCAAAGTTCAGACTTCAAATTCTCCGTGACCGCTCCACTCCATACATGCGTACGACTCACCCACAAGTCCGTACAGTCCGGTGCATGAGCGGGGTGGGTCTAGGGTGGTTCGTTGCAAGGCAGATTGGTCGGGCGGTCTGGAATACTGCTAGTATTAGTTTAGGGCCTTAGGCTAGGAGGTGAAATGACTCGCATCTCTGGGAGGTTCACAGCTGGAAAAGTCAAAAGACCTCCAGATGTACTTACACACTGGCGAATGCATCTTTCCATCCGACTCTCAAACGCCATCCATGGTACCCTGGACCCCTTGAAGCATGCCATTGGCTGGAACATATGCACAACGGATCAACCTTGTATGCATCGTCTTCATTCTTCTCTGCCGACTGAGTATGGAGAGAAATCCCACGGCAGCAGCTTGCCGCTTCGGCTAGCTATTTAGTAGGCAGTCGAAAGTTCGCCGAGTCGCTGACACAACATTGATATCCAACAAACACCACGACAGTGAAATCCAGGCCAATCTGCGATTCTGGGTATCTGCGGAGGCTTTGATGGCCCTTATCCATCCTTGCTCCTGTTGTCAACTTGTTTGCCCTTGTTGAAGAAGCAAATTATGGCCTGGGCGAGTCCCTGTATCTTGTGCTAGGAACCACAGTTAGTCCCACCTCCCTGCATCTGGGCCTCCCTTCGAACAGGAGCTACCTAAATTCAATCACCATACTGACACGTTGGTTTTTGCATTTCCTTCCACATCAGATTGAACGACAGAACATAGGCAGCTGTTACAAGCTGAAGTGTGCTGTTCCCTGTCGTTGTTGCATTAGTGATGATTTACTGACATGATCCATGTAACTTTATTGCTTCTCCCTGCTCGCTTATCCATCATTTGAGACGGCCTCGATGCCCGATTGCTGCCACTTGTCAAACCTGTCCTAGGTGTAAACCGAAGCCTGAAATCATTAACCTGGGGGGTTGCTGCTGGGATCAGTTCAAACATCACAAGACGAAGGTCTGCTTTCCTGCCGACATCAGGCTATTTTCACTGGGTACCCGATCTGAAGTACCAAGTGATTCAACTCACAATGAGCATGTGGTGACAGCAAGGGCACTCCATCCTGACAATTCATTTACAGACTTGAAAATTCATGTTTGGTTTGGGTGGGTGACTTCCCCAGGCCAGGCCAGTCAGCCAGCCCCCTTGCCGCTGATAAGTTGACGCGCTCTGTGGGCACCGATTCAGTCTGACCAACTCTAAGATTACGCGCCAAGTCCAGGATTGTGAGAAAGGTCATCGGTGTTGCCCCCTGCTGTGGGTTCACTGAAACACCCACTCAGTGCGTACCAACCTATCGTTGCCAAAGCAATGGGTTTGGCAACTGACGGATGACTTTGCCAGTGGTTGATCGAGTGAGAGCTATTGTGCACCTGGCAGCTAGTACTAATTTGCGAAGCGCTAGCTGAGCAATACTAGGTTGGTCCTGCTAGGGAAGTTTCCAGCTCCGTGGCTCCTCATTGGTCGATGAAGTTGCACAAATTCTGCTTTCCTATTGGCTCATTTGAACACTCATAATGTGACCTGTTATATATTGCTTACTAAGGCGCTTCACAATGCCTTGGGCTGTGGGCGGCCGAAGGCCGTCCGCAGGCCAGGACCTAGTATCTAGACCAATACCCGGACCTGTACTATGTAGGTATGTAAGAAGCAAGTAGAGAGGCAGGCCCTGACGGAGGGATTTAAAAGCCATAAGCCTTGTGAAGTACATCCTGCGACCATGAAATGTCACAACCATGTTGGGCAGTGAGGTAGTTAACTGGAGAGATGCATTCCTGTGATTTCTGCCTGTCAGATGCCGACGAAGAGGCAGCGGCCTGTACGGAGTACCAATGGATACAGCCATGACTAATCTGCCTCTTGTTCCCCGCGCCGTTCTAGCAAAGAAATCTTTCCAGTCTCCACACATCCTTCAATCCGACTAGAGATTGTAAAGCTCTCGCCTTGCCACTTTTGTGCTGTGGTCGTATTGGTGCTGACCTTTTCGTGCCAGCATTTATCGAGGGAGGTGTCCTGGGCAAAATGGTGTACTATTTCACGTCGAATGTGGTCCAACCCTCTGCTTTCATCTATGTCGGGAAAGATAAATTTGAGAGTACGATGGCCATGTTACAGTCTGAGAACATGCTCGAATCTGACGATCTCCGTGGGCAGATGAGGATCTCATAAAGTATGGGTTAGAGCAGGACGTTTGGTACCGTGACCCTTGCGCTGTGATCGGCCACTTTTCGCAAAGGGCGTGCTAATGCTTTCACTCGGATATCTTTTACCGTAGGGTTTGTTCATCATCCTATCGTGATAAAGCTGCATCTACTAATGAAGTTGTCTTTAGTTCCACGTCGATAATCTGTCAAGTGCTCACGTCTACGTCCGCCTCCGGGAAGGTGATACATGGGACAACATCCCCGAGCAGCTCTTGGAAGATTGCGCACAGCTTACGAAGGCGAATTCGATCGAAGGTCAGCAATAGTGACTCGGAAAAAAAAAACACTCATGAGGTAGTCTAAGTGGCAGAGCAGGGAATAAGAAGGACAACATCACCGTGATTTACACACCGTGGTCGAATCTTCTGAAAGACGGGTCCATGACAACTGGCCAAGTCTCTTTCCACAATCCCAAATTGGTCCGCAAGGTGTATGTTCGACAACGGGAGAATCCCATTGTTAACCGACTGAACAAGACCCGCGTCGAAAAGTTCCCCGACCTCAGGGCGGAGAAGGATGAATACCTGAAGAAAAAGCAAAAAGAGGAACGGAAGGTACGAGAGGAGCAGCGCTCGAGGGAGAAGCAGGAGCGGAGGAAACGAGACCAGTTGAAGTGGCAGAAAGAACATGCCTATGATGATCTGATGAGCGAGGAAAATGTCCAGGCGAGCAGCAACCAAGACCGGGATCCGGACTTTCTCGACGACTTTATGTGATGGGGAGAGGGGGATGGCATGATCATGTCGGGCAGTATATGGGAGGCGGCAGACCGCGTAGGATAAGACAACTCGCCGCCCGAGTCTCCAGGGGCGAATCCTGAGCCGTGGTACAATATGGCAACATTATCAAATGGCATATTGCCCGTGGTTCCTGATGCAATTGCGAGTACATCCGTGAAAACAAGCGACGAGGGCATTTTTGGTACCTCCGGGCGTAGTGGTTGGTATTGATAGCCGGCGACTGAAGTATATGGGGGGCTCTACAATTAGCGGGAAAGATGCATGATTTCATATGCTGGACTGTACAAAAGAATCTTTGCGCGCAGTTGATAATCAGCGTGACATGCTATGGTATGTAGTTGAAGTCCTGCGGTGTATCCGTGGTGGTTCTGCGTACCTAAGCGAGAGCTGCGGACCGCGGAAGCAATCTCCCTGCGCTAGCGATGTTGACAGCTATGGCCCCTACCTCATAACGACACGCAAGCCCCTCCAGTGCAGTAACAGTCGCAGCAGCCCTAGAATAAAACACCCTCCTCTGGGAAGTCGGAAGAAGGAAAAATGCCCGAAGGTCCGTCGCCAACCGTGCCTCTCAAGATTCTCACTAATTCCCGACGATCCTGCTCACGATTGTCCAACAGCCGCAAAACCAAAGAGCAAGAAGAAGAACAAGGGGGGCGCTAAGCTCAAGGAAGTAGATGAGCGCCCAGAAGCCAATACTGACACTGAATTAATCGACACCTCGGAGGCCATGCAACAAACTGTAAGGGCCCCCGCATGAACATGGTTAAGGCCTGCGTGCGCTAAATCCGGATCATCGAACGTGCAGGGTGATATGAACACGGAGGAGACCGGCAGAAGCCCGGATAATGAAGTTGTGAAGAATGAAATCAAATCGACTGCTGACACAATAACCGAGACCACCGGGAATGGGGGAACAACCGGCAGTCAAAATAGGACCGAGCATGCGGACAATGAAAATGGGTCACCCGGCTCGGAAGTCCATCAGTCGAATGAACGACTTGATGCCCTTGTTAGAGATCGAGATACTTTGCGCGTAGAGGTGACGGATTTGCGGAAATCGTTGGAGGAGATACAATCTAAACATCGGGCAGACATGGCGGCCCAGCAGGAGAAGCTGGACGATGCCGAAAGCAAGAAGGAGCATGCAGAATCGCAGTTCCAGAAACTTCTGGAAAGAGTGAATACAATCAAGTCACAACTTGGCGAAAGGCTCCGGGAAGACGCTGTGTGTTTTACCATCTGAAGTCCAACCTTCTCTAGTTTCACTAACCCCTCGAATAGGAAGAAATCGCACAGGCGAGATCAAGGATCGAGGAGCTGGAAGAACAGAACTCAAGCTTACAAGATGGGCTGCGGTCGAAGGACAACGAGGTTGAGCAACTATCGGAAACGAACGGCGAGTTGTCAAGGGAACTCTCGACCTTGCGAGACCGTACAAATTTGTCACAGCAGAACTGGCTCAAGGAGAAAGAAGAACTGCTTGAACAAGAGAAATACCTGCAATCGGAGTTTGAGCAAGCTAAGGAAGCTATGCATAATTGGGAAGTACTGGCAATGGAGGAGCGGTCTATCCGAGAAAACTTAGGAGAGAAGGTTGTGGATCTCGAGGAACAACTTGTCACCGTCAAAGATGCTTACGAGAAAACTGCTGCTGAACGTGATTCCCAACTGGCCATTGTGGATGGACTCCAGCGTGCGCTACAAGAAATACAAATGGGTGAGCTAGAGTCCGCCGTCATAATACACCCGCAGATGCTAACAAGACTTAGCACGTAAACAAGAACTTCGTGAGCTAGTAGAAAGCTCTGATGCTCAGCTGGAGAAGCTCAAACAAGCGCTTCATGGCGCAGAAAAGAAAGCCTCAGAGGCCGATAAGGCTTTCCAGGATGCCCAGAATGAACTCAAACGAGTACGGCCGTTCGAAAAAGAAGTTAAAGAGAAGAATCTCTTGATTGGGAAGCTCCGGCATGAAGCGGTAACGCTAAATGACCACCTGACAAAGGCCCTGCGGTTCCTCAAGAGAGGCAAGCCAGAGGATAATGTTGACCGGTATGTCAAACGCGACATGCTCCGCACACGAGCTCAGGCGCTTCAGGATTCCCGCTTACAGAATTCTCCAGACATATCGTGACGAACCATCTGTTGCACTTCCTTGCTCTCGACCGATCAGACCCCAAAAAGTTCCAGATCCTGCAACTTATCGCAGCGCTTCTAGGCTGGACTGATGGTAGGCGGATACACCATTGACATGAAATGGTACCACATGTGCAATGATGCTGATAATTTGTGACAGAGCAACGGGAGCAGGCAGGTCTGGCGCGTCCAGGAGCATCCAACATCTCTGGCAAGCTGAGAGTTCCAAACACGCCCGTCCACCGTACGCCTAGCAGCCAGACCTTGGCCACGGAATTCTTGGATAACGGCAACACCAACAAAGAGACGCTAGCGGAGCTCTGGTCCAACTTCTTGGAGCAGGAGTCGCAGAGTGCCGAGAGTTTACCACTCAGGCCGTGAACCGAGCCTAGTAGATCTGGTGGCTCAGACGTTATCTAGGTCCCGGAAATCCAGGGTAGACCTTTGGGGCGGCGCAATTGTTTCTATGTATTGTACGATAAGCAGGATCTTATCAGAATCTGTACTCATGTCAGCTTATTATTTTTATCTAGAAGAGTAATACTCATTCTTGCGTCGGCACTATCATTCACTATGAAAATGGGCAGCACTCCCTCACCGCCTCTGGTTCTGCCAGGATGCCGAAAGCCATCCTTGGCGAAGGAGATGCGGAAGTCCGACATCCCACTCTAGCTGATACCAATTATATGTATTCTTGCCTGTTGAGGCCGTGTGTGATTGCCTCACCATATTATACCCGTGCTCTACCAACAAGCCACTCCTCAGTGAAAACAATGGCTACTAGCGCTGGTGCGCCTCATTGTCCTAGAAAGCGTGATTTGGATCAACCCTCCTGACTATTACTCCAGTGCACAAGTTTCGTCCGGTCGTGGTATCTGGCCCCTCGGGCACAGGAAAGTCTACTCTCCTGAAACGACTATTCGCCGAAATGCCCGATCGCTTCGGCTTCTCTATTTCGCGTCAGTTAAACCCCGCGTCCCCTCATTCCCGCGAGACCGGGTCTCTCGATACAACCAAAGGACCATCACATCTAGTCTGGGCTGATTCTCACTTGACTTCTTGTAATAGATACCACCCGCACACCCAGACCGGGCGAGGAACACGGCCGCGAGTACTACTTCACGACAAAGGGGGACTTCTTGGATCTCGTGAGCAAGAACGGCTTCATCGAACATGCGCAATTCGGTGGAAACTACTACGGCACTAGTGTGCAAGCGGTAAAGAACATCGCAGAACAGCGCCGGATCTGCATCCTCGATATTGAAATGGAGGTAAGCAGTCGAAATGGCGTTTCTGGATATTAGCGGTATACCGCCCCGACTCAAGAGGAAAATTTGCTGATGGCTCCACCAAAATAGGGAGTGAAGCAGGTGAAGCGTACAGATCTTCACGCTCGTTTCTTATTTCTGGCGCCTCCTTCAGTGGAGGAGTTGGAAAGGAGATTGCGCGGAAGGGGCACAGAAACCGAGGAGAGCTTGATGAAGCGTCTTACCCAAGCGAAGAACGAGCTCGAATTTTCTAAGGAGCCGGGGGCTCATGACAAGATCGTTGTTAACGACGATCTGGAGAAGGCGTACACGGAACTGAGGGATTGGATCATTGACGGTGGTAACTTCGGTGCTTCGCAATAACCTGTTCGACGATAGGGCTGTGCGGGCCATTGCGTCTTTGATTAGTATAAATTGTCAAAATTAAAACATGTGATTCCCATAGATTTCACTGTGAAGAACAGTAATGATCCTATGCTTAGAACCAGCAATATTCTCCTGTTGATGTGTATTAAGGGAATTAAGTACATGAAGTGACAAGACGACGCCTAGCGCTTTCATTGCTAGCTCTTTGTGATCTGGAATAACCAATTCAAAGGAAAAAAAGTAAGACGAGTCACCCCCCATTCAACGGCGGAGGGTAGGATGAACACTAATACGATAAGGAAAAGCCTGAAGTTAAAAAGGATATCTGTAAGAGCATGCCGATGTGAAGTTGGTGCAGTAAGATCAAAACATGAAAAGGAAAGAAAGTTGACTCTCGAGACTGTTTTGTTGTTGGTCGCAAATGCATGGCAACGGCTCGTTTCAGATGCTTGCTTGACGAGACCATTGCAATTCACTCAGATTAATAACCGTTCATAGTCATGCGTTGCGAGTTGCGGCTGAGCTCCCTGTCCGCGGAGGGGCTGATGGGACGGCTGCTACCAGAATGACCCCCGGCGGCACTGCTCTCCTTCAGTGCCAAAAGCTGCTTGGCACGGAAAGTTTCATAATGAATCTGGCTGGTAGTCTCGATAAGATCCTGCAAATGAGTGCGGGTGAGGAAATTCCTTAGGTAAACAAATTCACAGTGGTTCTCATCTTCCACGTTGATAACACCCCAGCGGTTTTGGCGGCCGCGAACCTGCTGACCATTGACGACGATAGTCCGTTCACTGCCCACAACAGCGAAGGGGATGATGTCCTAGACAGGCGTTAGAGGCAAAGCCGAACAGCAGGCTGCTCAAAAAGGGTCGCATACCTTGATCTGGACGTTGACGGCACGTTCTTCGTCATCAAGTTCATCATTGTCATAGGGGTACATCTTCAGGTTGTGGAAGGCAAACTCCTCCTTGATTCGCTCCTTGAACGCCTGGCGTTCTTCGAGAGTGAGCGAATCAGCCTTGGCAATAACGGGGACTACGTTGACGACGTCCGACAACTTCTTCAAAACAACGATATCAATGGGCTTGAGACTAAATCGAGAGGCGGTCAATTTCCAGGCTAAATTAACAGAGAGTACTGTCTTGACACTCACGCATGACCGGACGGCTGGATGAAGAATAGACAGCAGTGGATACGGGTATCCTGGATGTAGCGGTCACGCTGAGCGGTGAGCTCCTTGCGAAGGTATGCGGAGTGCTGATCCTTGATATATTTCACGATTGGGTCCCAGCTGATAACACATTAGCTCGGGGGTAGTCGTTGCGGATGGGATCCCCATTACCATCTGTCGTTGTTGACCTGGTCACCGTATCCGGGAGTGTCGACAATGTTGAGGCGTAGACGCACGCCGTTCTCCTCGATGACTAGGGACTAGGCGTCAGCTCTGCCACGACTGGATCAGCAATGGCATGTTTATCATACTGTGCGAAACGGTCTGGATTTCAGTCGTCGAGCGGACAGGTTCATTGGGGGTCAGGCGGCCCTTGGAGTCAATGAGGTGAGAAGCAAAAATGGTGTTGATCAGAGTTGATTTGCCCAGACCCGTCTGGCCTGGTTCTCAAGGTTAGCCGGGCGGGAGGACAATTGGTCAGAGACACCAAGTGGGAGGGTCAACTCACCAACGCACATGACATTGAACTGGAATCCACGCTTCAACAGTTTGCGCTCGATCTGGGAGGTGATGCTGTCGAAACCAACATGGCTGCGAGGGAAGACCGTCGCGGGAGTGGTCGAAGACGAATTGGCTGCGGCTGCCATCTTGAAGACGTCCAGGAAAGTGGAGGGAGGGTCGTGAGTGGAATCAGACGGTGGTATGTATCTATAGTAGGGAGACGTGGTTGGTTAGAGAAGGAACCGGAGGGGAGTTGGAAGAGAGGAGTGGTAATAGTACAGTAAACAAATGAAGGATGGAGAAGGAGGAATTGATGAGGAGAGGAACAGCCCACCGAGTAGAAGACAGAGAGCAACGGCGATGCCCAAGCGTTTCGTCGTCCGATTACTACCTACTACTAGTAAAGGGAGGAGGGTGTGGACGCAGAACAACCGGGGGCCCCTTAAAACAGAGAGGACGCCAGGCGACGACAACCAGCTGGGCTCGCTCTGGCCATCCAACCCAAAGCGGTGGTTGCGACTCAGGGGGCCACTAATCCCCCTCAGGACTAGCGCGTCTCCAGACCCCAAATCGGGCCAACCGCCGCCCAAAACTGGAAGCTTCAGAATTATTCGATTTTATGCCGTCGCCCTGCCAGCCAATTCCCCATTTCTCTCTCGCCGAATCTGAGCTCCAATCTGTCCTGTCCCCGTTGGCCTCCTCCGAAAATGGCTCTGCGACTCCTTCCCTCCAGCCTCTCCTCCCAGATGCTGCCCCGAAGCCGCCTGCTCACGGAATTCCTGTCCGCCGCGGCGGTAGGACGGTGGTCTGGTTTCGCTTTGAATGCCTCCGCCTGGTCTCACAATCTTCTGGGCCCCCCCGCCATCTCGTTGAATATTCCCGGTATCACCGCAGGCCTCTGGGACTCCGTCCTCCGTGCCGTACCCAAGAAGAAGACCTCCCATATGAAGAAGCGCCATAGGCAAATGGCCGGCAAGGCTCTGAAGGATGTCAAAGGTCTCAGCACATGCTCTGGATGCGGCCAGGTAAAGCGTTCACACGTCCTGTGCCCGAATTGCGTTGAAAGTAGGTGCAACCAGCTGTCGGGGAGTTACCAACGATAGTTCAGCCCAGCATCTAATCGTGAATCGTTCTTCAGGTGTCAAGAAGCAATGGAAGCATACTCAAACTGCCTAAAATGCAAAGAAGAAACATACGATGAAAAACGGACGGATGATCGATTTTGATTTGCATTGGGATTGTGTTTTTACCTGGTATTCATGAAGTGTAGGATAAATGCTGCATGGCATTCGGCGTCTGGTAAAGCTTGAGGGTTCTTGATCTTAGTGATATTTTGTTGTACTATGACCATTTTATTTATTTGTATAGTTGCCTGAGGCCAATCGAATAGCCTGAGGGTTCTAGAATTCGATTTGACTGTACCAAGTACCTAGTAGTGCAGGGCGGAGGGCGTCAGTCTTTCAATGGAAGGTCCGCCGTCGGGTGGGTGCTATCGGGAACATGATCTCATTCGGCCGCCAGCCATTCTGTCCCGCTTGCGGCCTTAACTTGTTCACTTTCCCCTCGGCATTACAACGTGCTTGAGTGTCTACGGTTCATACTGTCTAGGCATCTAGGGCTCTGATATAAGCATGGTAATGTTTTGATATAGGAAAAGCCAACGCTGCTGCGTTAGATTCTAACTTGGGAAAATGTTCGGTTTAGTCGAAACAATATCTTTCTTGTGGCTCTGCAGACAATGGTTTGTATAATCAACTACCCCCTTTCAATCGCGGATATGTACTAAGCTTAAAGACAGCCCATCCCGTTGATATCTTTGCGCTGGCCGTGACTGACAAGCAGATTCTGTCAGCCTCGGGTGCCTGTTCACTCAAAGTTCACTCGACCACAGATCCTGATTTTCCGTTGGTACAGTCGATTGACGATGCCCATAAAGTTGGGTGCCATCATGTGGTAACCAGCGGGAAGGGCTTGAGGGCTGTCAGCATCGGATTCGGTGGTGAGGTCATGATTTGGTCTTGTCGTGATGGTATTTGGGCAAAGGATGATGCAGCCTCTGGTAGGTGGCTCTTCGCTGTGCCAATCCCGCGACTAATCGTGATCTAGTCAACAAGGCAACGCCTGCAGATATATGGGCCATTGCTTTGTCCGAGGATGGACAATATCTCGCCGGTGTCACTCAAGATGGCCATATCAAGGTGTGGGACTTGGACGCTAACGGGGAAGAAATCCGAGACTATGAGACCAAAGGCAGCTTCGGCACCTGCATAGATTTGGTAAGAAATGTCCTCTAGTTATTACTGCTGGGACGGTACTCATGCGACAAATCCAGTCTGCGGACGGCCGCTTTATAGCAAGCGGGCACGAAAATGGCAGTGTCTACATATTCGGTACAGAGAGCGGACGCATGCCATTTAGCCTGTCCGGTGAGTATTTCATTATGGCAGCCTCACACAAAATTGGGGTCAATTCTGGATGGCAGTCTAACTTGCATTCTTCAAAGGCTTGGTTAAGCCCGTACGAGCTGTTGCATTTTCTCCTGGGGGGAAATTCCTCGCTGCTGCTGGAGACTCCAAGGTGATTGTGCTCTATGACACCTCCTCTGGTGAGCAAGTGGCCAATCTTTCGGGCCACACAACATGGATCATGTCGCTTTCGTGGAGCCACACGGGAGAGCATCTTCTCAGCGGGTAAATATATCTACGTGTATCCTTCAATGAACGTGCTCTAATGCTCGAAAGGTCATTCGATGGAAAGGTCAAGGTTTGGTCGATAGACACCAGGACATGTGTTGCTACACATTCTGAGACAGAGAAAGCAATATGGAGTATCAAGTGGCTATCAAACATCGGGAGATCGGTAGGGTTCGCTACGGCTGGTGCGAATCGCAGCATATCATTCTATCGTGAAGCCACTGGTGGTTAGCCTCTAGTCCAGGTACGAGTTGTTGGACCATCCTATCATTTATATTCTTTACCGGTGGGCTAAATGAACCTAATCATATCTTTGTTGCAACAAAACATGTCCCTGCATGCCCGCCGGTGCTGCTTACCCAATATTTCCCAGATGGTAGCACACAATCCCTGACTAGGGCAAACATTGCATTGATATACATTAGTTCATTACTTGCATTTCCAACAATTTCATCTCCTTGATCTCATCCCTATTTCATTGTATCGACGAATAGCCTCCGCATCCTTTTCAGAAATGCACCAAAGTCACGATCCTCATTCACAATATCCAGCTCCCGCTCAAGAGCCTCCCGGTTGACCTTGGGTCGTGTGTGAAATACAGCGTAGTCTCGACTGGCCGTGCCGAGTTCAAACCAAGCCTCCGCTTCCCAGTCTTTTTCAAGCAGGTGAGTGTAAACAAACTTTAGCCGATCCTCCCGTCCTGCCCCTTCAATGCGGAGGCACAGATAGTCCTGCCAGAATTCCAACTCTGGCACATTCAGCCGAGCCTGTGCATCTAGATATCTGGCGTGCGTCTTCTGCGCCTCCTGCTTCTGACTGATCGCCTTCTGAGTCTCGTCGATTTGTTGCTTGAGGCGGTCGCGCTTCGCGAGGCGGGAGTCACGTTCCAGAGCCACAGACGAGATGGCGGCATGCATTTCCGCTGCTTCAGCTGCTTCCTTCTGGAGTGTTTGCTGGTGAGTTTGCGATTTCAGGTCAAGAATCTCAATGTCTCTCTGCTTCATGCGTTCATCCTCTGCGAGATCTGATTAGCTCTCGCGAGCTCTCCACACTCATTAACATACCCTGTAGCTCTGCCAGTCCTATCTTGAACTGGTTCCTCTCCTCCAAGACTTGCTTACGACCCCGCTCAATGAACGCATCGAAGCGCGCGGTGAATTGCGCCATGCGATTCCGTAGATCTTCGAATCCAAAATTAATACTGGGAAGGGAGTCGGCCATCGAGGGGGCATCGGCCGACGTCAGAGGCGGACGCATGCCACTTGTCGACAGTGACGGATCGAAAGAGGGGTTCATGATGTAATGAGTTAGATATCATCCAATGCTGACCAGGAGGTGTAGACCGCAAGGTTCTAGATATGTGATGCGGGGGTGATTATTGACTTGCTCATGTTCTCAAGCGCGATGCTAAAGCGCGGTGTTGCGGCGCAACCGCCGGACTCTAACTAACGAAAGCTTGGCAGTGATCCATCACGTTTTATTTTTGTTTTTTTTTTTATGTTTCTGCCGCTCTTCCATTTGTAATCAGCCACTGTTTCATCTGCTCTTGCGTATGCATGGATCATGATTTGACAGCTGTCAGGAGCAGCTGCATTCTAGGGCACTGCCATAAGAGTTGTCTATCAGTTCGCAAGTGATCGAGCCGTTGTCCCCCGGTTCTCGATATGCCCATGATCACAAGGCTGGAGCTAGCACATATCGCCAGGAGCAAAACCCGACCAGATGGATGAAAAAGCTACAATTGCTCTGCAATATGGGCACTTGGGAAAATCAATTTACAATTCGGAGACACAGAGTTGGGGATTTTCGCGAACATTAGCCCCGTGTAAGGGAACCCGGAGAACTAATTTGGAGAAATTGAAAGACTGACAGATTATTGAGCATCTTGTATCTCCTATACCGGTGTGACCAAAATCACAATACCATCGCCTCTGACTGCGCCACAGATCTCGCCGATCGAAAAAAAATATTTCTTGCCTAGAGTCTACCCTGAGCTTGCAGCTTGTTGGCCTCTATCCAACAATGAGACACTCTCCCATGCCATCACGACTTGCGAAACATGTGACCCTCTGGTTTCTTCGCTTTTTGATATCGGCTATGCTGTCGATCTTGAAACTAACGACTCGGGGAGCCGGGTAGTACCAATTGCCGTGGTAGCATCTGGAGAGTGTGGCAACACTATCTCCTTCCGGAAAATCGAAGATGATGCTGTGGAACTCCGAAGAAAGACAAATACCTCAATTCGCGTTCCCGCGATTGGACAGACGGAGAGCATTGAGTGGTCTGCAGGAGGGGCTCCTGTCCGTCAAATCTGTTTTGCGCGAACGGTGGAGGAAAAGGCAACGTGGATGGCAGCTCGTTTGCCCCATTCGACGATAATATTCCGGCCACAATATCATCGAAACCCGGTGCCCGTGCTTGTATCGCATGACGGTGACCATCTGTTGCCCATTCGTTCTCGCAAGTCTCGCTTAGATGCAAACCCATTAGTGGAGATATTGAACACGCAGACTGGGGGGTTTGCGCATGCAGATGTCACCTTCAACCCTTGGTATCAAAAGCAATTTGCCATCGTCGACGAACGAGGCAATTGGAGTGTCTGGGAAGTATCCGGTCGACACAGGCGTACCAAGGGTAATTGGACAGCCGTGTCTGTCAAATCCGGCGTACTGCCGTGGCTCGACTTGGAGGACGCTCAAGATATTGATGAAGACCCTCGGCATGATGGATGGGCTGCTATTGAATGGGCCGGAGATGTCAACAGCTTTATTGTTTCCGATCGACGCTGCCCGATGCTTTACCGCATGGAAAGTGGCCAGGTTTATCCGTATACGATAGAGCTTGGTTTGAAGCGAAGATCGGAATGGATACTTGACGTCAAGAGAAGTGCTTCAAATGTGTCGCATGCTTTCATCTTGACAACCACTCGGATATTCTGGCTAGATATTACTTCTAGCCCTGATCCGACAATTGCAACTGAGAGCGATTCGCGACCCCCTTTGTACCCCCGTCTGTCATGGCGTCATTTCCGGGATCCCGAGGACATCACGTTACGACTGGCTTCTCTACCTATGGACGAAGGTATGGTGATGATTGTCGCCGTTCTTGGCTTTTCGTGACATTTGTACTGACAATCTCATATTAGAGTTCTACCTGGTTTTATACTCTCGCCTAAACCATCTTGCGCTAGCATTTCATTGTCCATCTTCTTCCCTAGAATCAACGGATGCGATATCGATCCCTGACCCCTTCATAATGGAGATCCCATCGTTATCCCGAGATTCCGTGGAGTCACAACCCTTCAATGACATGCAGCTTTCAACTCTTGTATTCAAGGAGATCACGCATCTGCCGTCGTCCGTCGGCAAACAGTATTATGATCCTCATGCTAGACTCATCAAGCTTTTCGTGGTTGATTCGGGCCTCACTGTTTGCGAATCAATCTACGCTGGACCCTCCCGTGACGGTGATGCGGATGAGGAATTGTTCTCAAGAGAGGTGCTGCGGGTAAAGAAACGGCACCAAGGAGTGCAGCGGGTGCAGATAGCTTTCTCTCAAGATGATTTCGTAGTAGATGACATGGAGGGATCTGCGATGGGAACGGGGATGCTCACAGCCCCAGACACTGGGATGTCTAGCATAACGCCACTTGTGATTCCCCAATGGACTCTTGACTACACTCAAGCATATGAAGTTGCTACTGGGAGGTTAACGTTATTGCCAAGAGAAGAAGACTATCGCAGACAAACCCCCGAAAGAGGCTTTCAGGAAGCTCTCCAAGAGCTAGAGGTGATAGTCAGTGGTGGCACGATGAACGACCACCAGACAAGTCGTACAGGGTGAGTAGTTCTGTCATGCTTTTATTTGACTACCGTTCCTGATGTTCTTAGGCTCGAGGCTCTTGGTAGCAGTCCCTTGCTGGACGATATCGACCAAAACTCCCACAGTCTCCAGAGTTTTCTTTCCAATGAGCATCCAGCTCTCTTGCTTGAGAAGCAAGTTGATCGCCAACGAGGTGGCCTTCTTAGCCCGCTATTATTTCCGTCAGCCGGCTTTACGGAAGGCGTTTCATCATTGAATCTTCTGGCAATTTATGATCATCTCGTAAATGACTGGCTGGCTGGCCTGCCCTACGATATCCCCGGGCGCACGAGAATCATGAAAGAGAACATCATCCGTGGTGTTGCCGCTGACCTGATTCTGGCACATCTACGCATCAAAGTGCAGCAGGCCTACACCGTTGATGAGGTGGACGCCAGCGGGTGCACAGTCTCCGGAGATGCTCCGTCATCGTTGAGCACTCCTATAGACGACCCCTTATATGCATCGAGCTTTAGAAATGCGATAAACGCGTATCAGCGATCAGACTTGCCTGGCAATGGTAACCTAGAGGATCTAGGTAGCAGCGAGTCACCCGGAAGTACTCGGGTTCGTGGGGAAACAGAGGTTGAGAGCCCAGGGAATATACATTCGACGTATGCCAGTCTCTCGGCGTTTACGACTTTTAATCGTGAGCGGGCTTTGCCTCGGACTGTGGCGAGCGTGTTACGCCATTGGCAACCCGGGACTGACCCAGCCGGCTATAATTGGCAAAGGACGGTACAGATGCAGGCAACGGAGGAATCGCAACCGACTTCGAAGGCCGCAACTCCGAAACGCCGACCACGCAAGAAGATGCCTTCATCTCAAGGGACCAACTTGAACGCCTCTGCACCTCCTCCAATGTCTTCCATTCCCTCGGATGCGCGGGGATGGGGAAGCCAGCCGGAGAACAGCGAGGCCCCGGTGTTGAGGCTACCGAGTAGTCAAGCTGTAGAAGAGGATGTGCCGATGACGCAGATCGAGCGAGGTACGTTTGGTGGTCGAGAGGCCGGGCGAAAGAGCGTCGTGAAGGCACGTAAGAAGAAGCGAGCGGCCGGGTTTTAGGGCTGTTCGAAATATAGATCAGCGTTAAAAAGGATATAGACATCCAGACACCCAATAGACGCTTAGAAACCGGATTGGTAATAAGATGAGCGATTTCTGCGCCTTCTCACCCCGCCACGATCCAGCCAGGTTGGAAGTATAAGAATGACCCGGTTTCTCATCCATTTCCTCCTCAGAATCTTTCCCAATAGGACTGTTGCGATTACAGCTGCTGTTTAAGTTGAAACGACCGCCGATCAATAATCCCCCTCCTCTCGGTCCCCCGGCCCCTCTCCAGCCCCGCCATCGTCATTCTGGCTGGATTTCGGATTGATAAATATCTAATCCGTAGTGACCCTCACCACATTTATTCGTCCTCACTCACACCTCTCCCTTTCGTCACTTTTTCTGTTCGATCCCACCCCCCACTTAACACCATGTCCGACCATCAATACAAGTTCAACGTCACAATGAGCTGCGGCGGTTGTTCCGGTGCCGTGGAACGCGTTCTGAAGAAGCTGGATGGTATGTTTCGTACTGTCTTCCCCTGAAAGACCCAACTCTCTTTGTTCATACTCTCCAATCATGTTGGCCGGGGTGAAAAACAACATCGAAACATTTGCTTGTCCGTATCGCTAACCTTCCATTGCAGGTGTCAAGTCCTTTAATGTGAACCTCGAGTCCCAAACCGCCGACGTGGTGACGGCAGCGTCCGTTTCCTATGATACTGTGTTGGCTACGATCAAGAAGACAGGGAAAACGATCAACACTGGAGAGGCGGATGGCCAGGCTATGGCTGTCTAAGGGCGCCGCCGCCCAGGATGGAGAGCCATGGGGCATCGGAGCGTGTACATGATGCGGATTGGAAAGAGCGGGACCAGTAGCCTCTGGGTCCGGGCCTGAATGCGAGATACCCTGCTGCGTACTTGTATATAAGGGCTTATTGAGATTTTGGTGCTGTTGGGCGGCCAGGCGTTTCTTTCCCCCGCGCCATGTGTCTTCGCGGCTGACGACAGCTTTTGCATACCCACGCAATAGTCTAACTAACTCAGGGCTGCGCTTAATCATATGCTTGGACCAGATAGACAAGAACGATTGCGTAATAAGCTAGCATCTTGCTTGTCAGATTCGTTGTTGACACGTGGTCGGGTATCACCTCCGTTTGACTTATGTACAGCAACGCATATGCGGACATTTACAAGAAATACATCAAGGAACCCAATACGCGTCGTCAATCCACAATAACTACCGTCCGACCCTCGGAAATCGAATACGGAGCCCGTTCAACTCGTCTTACATAAGTAGAATAACGCTGTTCTTCCATCCGCGAACCATCGCGTGGATGTTCATAGGCTTGCCTAACCCTTTCGGGTTTGTCAGTGACCAGAGCAGAGAAAATGGGGAGGGGGGGAGAGAGCTAGCCCATCCCCCATTGTGAGGGCCATACCGTGGAGGGTCCAAAGCGCCTTCACATCCCCTGTCGTAGTAGCGGGCTGTAAAAGGCGGATTAGGTACCCTGTCAGTGTGATTCCCTGGACCTTGGTCATCTGCCACGGCATAATTCTGGATAGCGAGCCCCGCCTGGGAATCCATACAAACGCGGCCAAGGGACCTCGATTCCATGCTACCGGGCAAGCTACGCAGATATGGTTCGGTCTGCACCGAAACCCCAACTGGTTGCGGGTGAGTTCCGATAGGATAAGTTGCCGTTGGAAGACGATACTTTAGTGGAACGGAATCCCTCGAATCAACAGCACGAACGAAGTCTTCAGCATAATGTCTTCTTTGAGACGGTTCCTGCGAAACAAGGGGTTGTTCATAATCCCTGTCACCCCAAGTAGGCTCTGGTGGCTCTGCCGCTTCAAGCGGTCTCAAACCGCCAGCGTTATGTCCAGGGAGTTCATGATGAACACGCCGCTCTCTCAACCCAGAGGAATGCACAGGAACAAGCCTATCAGAAGCGTTATCCGCAGAGATGGCATATCTCGTGCTTGGCACAACGTGGGATTGCCCCGGAGACCTGTAATGGATAGGAAGCTCAGAGGGGACAAGATGAGATGTATGGCTGTGAAGCTCTTCCAAGGGCCTTTGGTGAACGGTTATCCCGGTCCTCGGATCAAATTTGGTGGCAAAAGTAGAGGGGTATTGCGCTCTTTCTGGATGGCCCTCGGCAATAGGAAAGGATCTAATCGGAGCGGCATATCTCTTACGAAAATGAGGTTCGTCCTGGGCTGAAGAGTGTCCTAGGGGTGTATATCCAGAGGAATCCTGATACCTGCTGCCAGTATAAGAAAGAGCCGCACTGGCGGAGGCAACCTTAGGATGAGGGTGATCAGATCGGTCAGGCTCGCAGTAAGCCATACGCCTCCGTTTAGAAGCTTGATCTCGCTCTAATTCTTCCAGATCCTCCTGGCGAGCTAGGCGGTGGGGTGTTACTGATCGAATTGAGAAGGCCCCAGACATTCTTTTGGCAAGGTGATCTAACTGACCACTGTTGGGACGCCGGATTTCCATGGGTACAGGGGTTTCAATAGAGGGCAATGCATGATCCTGTGGCTGTACATTGGTCCTGTATTGGGATGGGCCCAGCGGCCTTTGGAGTACAGTTGGGTCCCTGGTCATCTCACGGATATTTCTAGGACCACCCACAAATACAGGGGCATTTGGCGAGCTCTCCCGCTGGTATGTGCGCTTCTGTTGTTGGATAACTGGCACTCGCTCCAAGGGGATCGCACCTGATAGAGGAGCAGCCTCTCTCCTTTGGACAGACAATTCAGCCACGCGGTGCAGCTCATGCGGCTCGTGAAAAGTTAGCTCGGGGCTAGTTTCCCAGCAGAGGGTGAAGAGCACAGGTAGGCCACTGGGGACTTACCCGTTCCATTACTGGGTCCAAAACCAACCTGCCGGTGCCGGTACTAAAAGGTATTGCATTAGGTGTAGCGAGAGGTGCAAGCGAAACACGAGGCCGGTGGGCAGGCTCTCGGTCAAAACCGGTATGTTCTAGTAATGGCTGCCGTGTGACAATCGGTCTCTGAACATCAGAGGCATCATGCAATCTGCGCTGGTCAGTGTCATTTGCTATGTTTCTATACCGATTAATAGCGCGATCCCAAGCTTGATATCTGCTGAAACCACGGCGATCAATCTTATGCCTTCTGGGGGCTTCTGGGATGAAGCGAAAACCTGGTGGCGCTTCATCATCCGATATGTCTATCTGGGTGTCACGAAGGGTAGGGTTTGCATAATTGAGCGGCTTTGTTTGAAGCTCGTCAGCGCGAGGATTACTGGAAACAACCATCACGCTGTGATCTCGATCGACAGAAGGGGGTACCTCTCCCTCGGTATCACTATCTTCGTCATCGGATATGACAATGACCTCCCGGAAAACGTCTTCTAGAACTGTCTTTCCGTTTTCATCGTCTCCTCTCCATTGCACTACCTTAGCTAGTGTTGGTTCTTCCACCAGGGTTCTAGCCTCGTGGAAGGAGGTCGCTTTTAGAAGACGATCGTAGTCTGTGTAGATATGTCGGATATGTGCCACAACCGCTAACTGAGCCCGACGAGCTAGAGGTAGCTCAACTGCCGTTCCTACTTTGCGCTGGCCCTTGGATTGGTCTCAGCATCTGTCACTCGACGCGCTTCGTCTCATTTCTCTCCAACCGTTTCTTTCGCCCCGTACATACCTTTTGAAATGCAGTCTTGATGATTTGATTGAGATCATTATCAGGAATATTGGGGAAAAGGTCTTTCAAGACATCCCTTGCTTCTGTGTTGATGGTGGTCTGAGAAACTTCCGAGTTAGCTCGTTTGTGACTGTTCGCACCGCCAGCACTCTGAAATGGTACCGCTTTCCCTGCTGCTGTGAGATAGAGGCCCAAATCCATGCACACTGTAGAGACAGTGGCACTTGGGAAATGATAGCCAATCCGGTGCACATGTTGGGAGAGATTGTGAGTGTGCATATGCGGTGTTGTCTAGCAGTGGCTATTAGAGAAGATCAAGAACCAGAGATGGGCAGGACTGCCGGCCTACCGTGACAGCGAACACCTTCAGACCATCCTTCCGGCACATTTCCTTACATGCAGTCGTAAGCTGGGGGTTGCCTGCAGTGATGAATGTGTAACCAGGGGGTGCCTTTGCTTCAAACGAAATCTATCTTCTTGGTCAAGAGTGCCCATGATAAACCGGCGACACAATAACATACAACACTTCGAAGTTTCTTCTTCTCTTGCGTAACGGATTCCAGAATCACTCTATGTTTTCGCGCGGTCTTCTTGAGGACCCTGCTGGGAACCCGCCTGGCAAGGACCGAGGCCGGTCTCCGAGATACTCGAGCCATGCTGAAGAAGTAGGACCGTCCCAAGTAGCTACAGAAGACAAGTCTTCATTTTACCGGTGCCGGTTCAGATACGCGCTGCATGGGAAAGGCCGTCCAGCTCTAATCATTCCTCGAGCAGATGAGCAGGCAGAACGAGTAAATAGGAAGCTGCTATCCAGGTAAATCCGGTTAGTAAGCCATGTCTACACAGTCAAGAGTCCTAAGCATGGATCACAGCTCCCAGGGAGTCAGGATGAACCGGAAATGGAACAAAGCGATGGTTGTCCAAGTCAGGCTAGCCACCGCTCTGGCTACCGAGACGCACTAGCCCTGATAAAGGGATAAGGGGCTTGATGAAGCCGGGAACGTTAGCTGGTTGACGCAGACCTCCAACTGTTGGGAGTATAGAGTACAGAGCAGCAGGAACAGCAGTAGCCGTGGTATACAACGAACATCCAAAAGGCTGGCTGGGTTGGAGTGGGTAGAAAGGTGGGAGAAGGAAAGAGAGAGTCGGAGGGCAACCAAACTTAAACCACTTGCGGCCTAACGCGCGGGCGCCGAAGGTGCCTGCCTGATTGGGCTAGCGCTGCCAGCCCCATTCATTCCATTCATCCTTTGCGACAGGCACCTGGTCAGGCTTCCTCGTTCCTACTACTACTCCGTATCCTTGCTCAATTTTGGGGCGCTTCCAGTCCCTTGTTGAACGCATCATAAAGGAGAAGGCCGAGGACGGACCCTGTACTGTATATCAGTCGCTTTACCCCTTGTTGAGTGTTTTATTTTTCTTTGCGGGCAAGATGAATCCTACTCAGGCTCTGAAGACCGCGGTGGATCCAAAGACTTTGGTCCATGCCTATCGTCACTTGTATCGCCAAGGCTTGAAGGCTGTCAATTATTCTACCCCCGCGCGGCATGTTCTTCGGAACAATCTGCGGACCGCCTTCCGTTCATCTTCACCGGAAGAGCTGAATCCACGTCGCATAGCCAATACTCTTCAGTTTCTCCAGCGAGCTGCCGACGTTACAGGTATGGAACACAAGATTGTGAGAAATCTGTTGATGATGAAGTATTGGGAGCAGCTGCAGGTGAGGAAAGACCACCGCATGTAGGTTATGACCCCCGAAAAGACATGAGACTGTCCGTTACTGACTTCCACACAGCTTGAGAGGGTTAGGGGTCGATCAGAGGGATCCTACCTTGATGCAGGATACGATCCGGCAGTTTAACCTGACCTTGTCCCTTCTCAATGATAGCCTAAACATTTGTTTGAGGTAGCCATGCAATCCATGTTCCGGTTGTCTACAGCATAAGTATAGGGACCATGCACCTGCCAATCCAGATTCAAGCCCGACTCATCAGTGATAAGAAAACCATCCCAAAGTAGATTGATGGGCATAATCCGGCCTCAACTTTCATGGCAGGGACGCGGAACTATCTCAGAGCTGACCAAGGTCTACGGGGTCTATACGGAGTACGGAGTTTCTTGCACCTGACACTTCCGGCGGGGTTTCATTATTAGATCTTGTTTTCAAGTAAAACTGCGGCCGGGGGTAACTAGGCGATGGGCACCGTTTCAATTAGCATGGTTGCCACCGGGGTTTGATCTGGATATAATGGTGGCAGATCTGGACCGCGGCTAGCGAATTAGCATCCGCATTGGGCCTGTGTCACATGTTTGAGGTGCCTGTTCCGGAGAGCCCTTGTCAGGCCTCCAAGCTCGTTCCAGCGAAATACTAATTCTGTAATCCTGTCGATCTCAACTAAGTATCCTTTATACCCTTCGACCTTTTGAATTCGAGAGCGCTTCGTTCCAGTCAAATGCTGCCATCGGCCCTCCATGAGTGGGCTTATAACTTCTCTCTTCATTGAACCCGTCATTCGGCAAGCCCGTCGCCTCTCGCAGCAGGCCAGTAACTCCCTATCTTCTTCCGACAACCGACCTGAATCACCCGCAAGCACACGAGACCATGTCCCGCCAGCTAATGGCAATTACAAGGTTGCAGACAACAAGACCATAATGCCGGACTCACAACAAGAGAAGGATGCTGAACCCCCGTCGCATGGCGAGTATGCGGGGTCCGACCATGGTCGCGCAATCTCGCCGACGTCGCTGCCGCTCGACTCGACCAATCGACATCATGGGGCAGAACACAGCCCTTCTCCGGGCTGGCTCAGAAATCCAGCAGGAGACCCGTTATTGCATCTATTAGGCACATCTGATACACCCAGAAGCCCCTCGACATCGTCAGTACGACCCGCTCCTGTCGCTTTTCCCGCACGAGAAACCCCTCAGAGCGCAAGGGTAGACGCCCATAGTCCTGAACAATATTCGAACGATCAGGTCTCGGTAGATGAGGGCGGGTTTTCGTTTTCCCTGCCAGAGGATGACGGGATGGGCGCTTTGAGGAAAAAGATCCATGCCATCAGAGACCTAAGATCCAGCAATGCAGACCAGGCACGCATGATCCACGCGTTAATGACGGAAAACTACCACGCTTCTCAGAAGAATCTCGGTGACCTCTTAATCCCAAGTAGTCCACAACCTCCTATCCCTCGCAGCCCAAAACGAGCGGATAGTCCCAGCGGCTGGTCTATCCAATCCTCTGGTCAATCGCTCCAGTCCCCAGCTTCTACAGCTTTCGTTGCCCCACAAAACTTCACATACAATTTAATCGCTGAGGATTTAGTGCCGACGTACGCGCCCCGAAGAGAGTCAGAGTCACCCCTTGGTGAGGTGGAAGATATGGACACTGAAGAATGTGAGGAAATTTTCTTGGGCTGCCAGCATTATAAGAGAAATGTGAAGTTGCAATGCTTTGCGTGCAAGAAATGGTTTACTTGTCGATTCTGCCACGATGAAGTTGAGGATCATCACCTCGATCGGCCAAAGACAGAGAACATGTTGTGTATGTTGTGTGGGCATGCGCAGCCCGCGGCGCAGTTCTGTGAACAGTGCGGTGAAAGGACGGCACAATACTATTGCCATACTTGCAAACTTTGGGACAACGACCCAAATAAGAGCATATATCATTGCAATGATTGCGGTATTTGCCGTATAGGACAGGGATTAGGGAAGGACTTCTTCCACTGCAAGGTAAGGAGCTGACTGATAGGGGAGGTGGTAGGAACTGGGCGCTGATCTATGTCTAGACGTGCAGTGTCTGTCTTCCAATCTCTATTGAGAATACACATCGATGCATCGAGCGCTCCACTCAATGTGACTGTCCAATTTGCGGAGACTACATGTTCACATCTCCAGAGACCGTGGTCTTTATGCGCTGTGGGCACAGTATTCATCAGAGATGCCTGTCCGAATATGCCAAGACCTCATATCGCTGTCCGATATGTAGCAAAACCATTACAAACATGGAATCTACTTTTCGAAACTTGGATCGTACCATCCAAAGTCAGCCTATGCCAGCCGAATTCGGAGGCACCATGGCTCTCATCTATTGCAACGATTGCTGCGCCAAATCAATTGTGAAGTACCACTGGCTCGGTCTACGATGCGACATGTGAGTTCAAGATGATGCCATCTAAATGGGATGCTAACCAAGGCTTAGGTGCGAATCCTACAATACCGCCCAGAAACGGCTTCTCCATGAGAATGTTCGGGATGTCCCGGAAACAGATAGTGAGGGTGCTAATATACAACCCGCACGGACCAGATCTTCATTCCATGGTGCAGATGAAATTGGGTTGTCAACACTGGCCTCGTTGCGCATCGATACAAGTACTATCCCGGGGACAGACTCGGTTGCTCCTTGGCCTAATGCACCTTTGTCTGCCGACCCAAATGGTCAGTTTTCGTCTTACAGCCTTGCCCGAGCTCGTGCGGTGTCCCCAGTGATCAGTAACTATTTTGGCATCCCCCCGGATCGTGATTCGGAGAGATCGGGGTCGACTTCTTTCTTCGGTGGCGTCTCATTCCGAGACAGCGAAAACGAGGACGGGGGAAGGCTTCGCCTATGGGGTACTAAATTCAAATACAGCTACGGTTTCCTCGGACAAGAAACCGAATCCGTTGATGGGACCTCCGATACGGGAGATGAAGAGGCGGATGAAGATGGGGCATCGGAGGATAGCGAATCGGAGGAGAGAGAAGACGACAGCGAGGATGAAGAGGAGGATGAGCAGGAGAGCATCAACATATTCGGACACCGATGAGGTTCCTTTATATATACATACACACAGCTGTTCCTCGTGGGGCCACCAGCGCGGGAACGGACGACGACCCATATAATGAAGCAGCAATGGCAGAAGCTGGCAGGTCCATCTGAAGCTGCCTTCTACGACACACTGATATTTTTCTTGGCATAGGTAGGTACATGGGCGTTTGATGTTGAGCATGAGAGGCCGATGTTTCTATTGATATCATTGTCGAACCCGCACGCTTGTTTGTATACGGCGCCCGAACGGCGATATAAGGGGCTGGGGTGGGGCTATCTGTAAACTGTAGAGACCGGGGTGGGGAGTGGCAGTGGCACTTCTGCTCCGTAGTTATCGATATTCGATAGATAGGAGTCACGGTTCGCAATGGAACAAATTCACATTGTCTAGATATCTCATCCAATCCATCGGGTCAGCCGAGCAAGGGATGCCGGTGGGCTTAGCTAAGCGGCCTGGAGGAGGCGTCATTCGATTGCCTTCTTCGGGCGAAGTTGACGATGAGTGAGATGCCGCCAATCCGAGCGGGTTGGAATGCATGCATGCGTGATCACTGATCTACCCATGGATTAACTTGTTGTTGCTGCTGCTGCTGTTTACCAGCCCGGGGTTAAGTTCTGGGGGCTCTGTCATCTACTCTTATCCTCCTTTCCACTCCCATCGTCTTTCTTTGTCACTCCTTCGCTCCAGTCTTATTGTGGCTGCTAAGCCTGCTGCTCACTAATCTCTCCCTTGAAACGAAGCACGGATCCCCCCGGGGCATGTCCCAATCCTCACATTGGTTACAAACGTTTCCCCGACTCGGTGCTTCTGCGCATCCGTCACGGTGATTCTGTATCCTCCAAAGAATTCCCAGGCTCTTCACCCCCTTCGTCTACCACGGATCCGACCCGTCCTTGTCATCGCGCTATATACACCGCTCCCTATACAATAAACGGAACCCCCGCCCTCCGATAAAGCCTTTCCCTGTCTCCGTGCGGCGGATGCAGCAATACAGCAATAGCCGTCGCTCAGCTGAATATGATCCGTCACAACTCAGACATCGAGGTCCAGCTCCCGGATGCCGGGACCCCTGTTGTCTCCGAACCTTTGAATGAACCGGACGTGGAGATGTCATCTGATGAACTGTCTCTCCCTCTGAGCCTCCCTGCCCATCTCGCCGCTCGCTTTGCCCGGAAGCCAAGTGTGATTCGTCGCTCAACGGCGGCCTCATCTCGTCGAGGCTCGATTTCCTCGCTTCATTCACAACACTCAAATGCGTCGTCTCATGGCGCATCTTCAACTGATCATATAGCGCAGCATCTCCGGCGGACTTCCATCCTCGAGAGTCGAAAGGCAAGGCTTGCCGACCGCGCCTTGCATGCAGAGAAGGTCAGGTTGCGTGCTGCCCTCGCAAAAGCTGCTACTCGAAACCTGCAAAGAGAGGAACGAGCCCTAGCTGCTCAACAAGCTCGGGAACGGTTATTAGCTGAGATTACGGCCAAGTGCGAGGAGGAAGTCCGTCGGGCAAAGAAGAAAGCTGAAGACAACCGGGAAAGGAAGGCTGCTGAGCACGCTCGGCTTCGCTTGGAGATTGCAGAGAAATTTGCTGAGGTGGAGAAGAGGCGAATGCTCTATCAACAAAGTCATCGGCGTTGCCGCACAAGTAGCCTAAATTCCACCGAGGAGAAGAAGATGTCAAGGGTTTCCATGAGTCCCATCACGCGGGATGCGGCAGCGAGAACGATTCAACGAGCGTGGAGGACACATCACTCCAAGCTGATTATGCGACAATTTCTAGACCTAGACCTGACGACCGGCGGCATCCGTGAAATGGCTTTTGAGGATGTCGGTGCCTTGCTGTCGAAGGATGCAGTGCTGGACACCACGGCCCGGGTCCTCCGGTTCTGTGGGCTCCAAGATATGGAGAGTGGGACCATGGGCGGTCGGGGTGCTGTGCGCACGTTCCTTAGCAGCTACCTGATTGTCACCCACCCTACAGAGGTTCTAAGCAGTAATGGGGAACAGGAACAGGACTTGATCGCCAAAGCACGGGAGCTCCTGGTGGCGTTTGACCAAGTCACCCCATTACTCTCCTCCGGTTGCTGCTCACCTCTATTCATCTCAACCGAGATCCAGGCACTATGTGAGGCATATAATGTCTTCTTTTCTGCGTTTCATGCGTGGAAAACCCATGACTCCAGCGTCTTGATCGAAATCATGCTGGCCCAGTTCATCGAATTGGAGCTGATCTGGCAGACGGTCAAAGACGATCGCGCTGGTGGTGTGGCGGAGGACTATCGACAGGGTATCAGACAAAACCAGATCCTACTTCTCACCAAGCTGAAGCGTCTGGCGGGCTCTGACCGGGCAATGCAGATGGTTCGGGATGCCTTGAAGAAGGCAAAACGTGAGAAGAAGCGCACTGCTTCCAAAAAACAAGCTATCCCGCGGTCAGCGGAAGTTGCGCCGTCCTCAACCGAAGCTCTTACTGAGAGCGTGGCATCTCCCATCAGTGAAACCTTTAACAACGTGGACAGTGATGTCCTGCAGGAACTGGATAAGCAGCGGATATCCCCCCATGAACGGTTTACCCGGATCCTCACTGCCCTTCCCGAGAATCGGGCATTGGTACATGAGCTCCTCATTAATAAAGGATTCAAGATCGATGAGAAGCAGTATACGGAGCCGCGCAAGCGGATCATGCAGCATATGTGTGAAATGATGCGCAGAGATGTGGATGCCGGCCTCGGGACGAACTGGACCGTGGCCATGGCCACTGTTATACAGGATCGATTACTGCGTTCGCTTCGGCCAGGCAATTCGCTCCATGTGCTAATCAGCGAAGTGCTGGACCCCAAACTGGTTGAGAATCAGTGCAAGGCCGGCGCCTTCTCCTACGATAATTTCTTCGAGTTCATGAATACCATCCTTCCAAAGCTCTGCGCTCCTTACCGAGACCCTGTGGTCAAAGCCTTTGTCGAGGATACGTCAGGGGATGCAATTGATCGTCTAGCAAGACTTATGGGGATAATCGATCTTCTGTCCCTTGACCACACAAACTTCATGATTCAGGTAGCGGCTCCGCAACTCATTCAGGAGGCGCCTGGCTACGAACAGAGAACGTTTGAAAAAGGTGTACAGGATGGCTCACTAGGCTTGGGGAAGAGCCGACGTTTCTGGCGGACGTACCGAAAGGTGCTTGCAGATGAGATGCGGAAGCGAGATCCAGAGAATGTCAACGGCGAGCCGCAGCCGCCGATGGCAAAGGTCTACGCACACGGACTCGTAGATCTCGTACTAAGCAATGCCTCCATGTCCGACGACTTGATACCAGAAACACTTGAGTTGGATCGCCACCGGCTAGGACGATTACATGCGCAGGCGTTCCGAATCGTGGCGACGGCTTCCATCCTCTTGACTGCCAAGAACCTGCTCAAGCGCGATGTGCGGTCTCAGTGGAAGGCCGAAGCAGACCGGCTCCTGTCCTTGGACTTCAACGATATTCAGCCGGACCGAGTCCAGTCGATCTTAGAATCCACCCATCCGATGCCTCCCAGCGCGAGTGCCCAATTAGCGGCAACCATTCGACGAGTGCTGGCGCCCGTGGGCACGGCTTGCACCGCTGCCTCTCCGGCGGGCGCGACGCCGGCAACGGTCGAGATCCAAATGGACCCGGACACCTCGACTGCCTCCTCATCCGCGTCCTCGCCCGCGGGCTCTGCCGGGTCTGTAGGTTCGAGCAGGAGTGGAGCCAGTGCCGCCAGCTTTACAGATCCCGTGGCGCGACTAATCCTGTCCCGCCTGCGAGCTCATGTTCTCTCGCGCCTGAGTGCGTCGAGCGCCAGCGAAAGGGTGCGGACCACCACCACCGCCAGCCAAAGTCTGGCAGGGGCCGGCATGCCCGAGTTTGTGATGGAGGTCGGGCAATTGACGGATGAACTGGAGAAGGTGCGTGAGGTAGATTGGTTATGTCATGGCGTGGTCTACGATCGTATCCTCGCCGAGGGCATTCCTCCTAGACCGGGAGCATAGGCGCGGCTGGGTTGATAGTTGGCCGGCCTTTCTGGGTTTATCATTCCCATGAGTTGTTTATTGGAGGGATTAGGAACGGGATGGAATGGAGTGGGGGGGACGTAGCCTTGATATCTCCTTAGATAGAGTGGATGTGAATGTACTCATCTCGCAGGCCGCATTCCTGCCGTGAGAACTAACCTAATAACTGGGCGTGACTAATCCCCGATCTCGGCCGGGGTTGCGAACTTTCGCCTCGACCAGCTCCCGCCATTCCATTTCCCCCCTCACTTGACAATCGCCGGGTTCCCTTCCAGAGACCCCAAAGTTCCTACGGCAGGGCCGCAAGAGAGAACCAAGACACTCTTTCATCAATAAACCCCTCCCCCACCATCGCCATGGCCGACCCCGCCGCCTCATCCCCTCACCTCCAGCTCTTGTCGGATCTGACCCCGCCCTCCCTCGAACGCACCTGGTTGACGGCGCCACACCCACGTCTCCCTATTGTTGCAACCTGCAGCTCCGACAAGACTGTGCGCGTCTATTCGCTGACCAACTTCCGGCTCCTGTCGACCATCTCCGGCGGTCACAAACGCAGCGTACGCACCGCCGCCTGGAAGCCGCACGTCCAGGGCGAAAGCGTGCTCGCCACGGGTAGTTTCGATGCCATGGCAGGCATCTGGCGTCGATGGGACAGTTATGGCCAGGCAACCGACGGGTGGGGCCTAGGCCAACGAAAACAGGCGACCACCACCTTCAACAGCGGCAATCCTGAATCCGAAGCCGAAGAGAGGGACATTCTCCGTCACGACGAGGACAAAGAAGTAGGGGACGACGACGATGAATGGCGATTCGCGGTCCTCCTGGACGGGCACGATAGTGAGGTGAAGTCCGTAGCATGGTCGCCGTCGGGGATGCTCCTGGCGACGTGTTCTCGGGACAAATCGATCTGGATTTGGGAGGATCTAGACGACGGCGACAACAATTTCGAGACGGTGGCGGTAATGCAGGAGCATGAGGGGGACGTGAAGTGTGTGTCGTGGCATCCTGTTGAGGAGTGTTTGGCGAGTGCGAGCTACGACGATACGGTTCGGATTTGGCGCGAGGATTTGGATGACTGGGGCCAAGTTGCGTGCTTGCGGGGCCATGCGGGCACGGTTTGGTTTGTGGATTGGGAGGCGGTTGAGAACGTTCCGGCTGGGTTGGTGGAGAAGGAGAAGCAGGTCTGGAGGGAGGCGGGACAGCGGGCCTTGTCTGGACCGCGTCTTGTCTCGTGCTCGGATGATCGGACTGTTCGTGTCTGGCGCCGACAGCCTAAGGAACAGGCTCCGGCGGCGGGAACGGCGATGCCGAGTATTATTCGGCCAACAGGAATGGACGAGACGTGGGAGGAGGAGGCGTTACTTCCGGCGGTGCATGATCTTGCTGTTTATGCGGTGGCCTGGAGTAAGAGGACGGGTTTGCTGGCATCTGTAGGTGCGGATGGTCGTATCGTGCTCTATGAGGAGCGGTTGGTGGACACCGGTTCGGCGCAGCAGATGGATACGGATCCGTCGTCGTCGCCGCCGGCTGTTACACAGACAGAGTGGGTGATTGTTGCTGCGTTGACGGGTGCACATGGCATCTACGAAATCAATCATGCAGCGTGGGCGAAACGCGCTGATCGTGGTCAGGACGAAAGCAAGGAGGAGCAGGAGGTGCTCATCACTACGGCTGATGATGGGAGTGTTAAGGTTTGGACGGTAGAACGGTGATGGTATGGAAACGGGTCATAGAAGGGATGGGTGTGAACAAAGGTGAGTATACAGGGTTATCTGTCTTGGGAGATAGAGAGAACAGGCGTGTATCTTGTTGGACAGAGTTGCTGATATAGGGAACGTTTGTCTGGTTACGTCTCACGATGAGTCTGGGAGGTCGGGTCATAAATTCGGTCATGTTCTAAATGATGCTAGGTTCCAACCTAGATAGATAAGATGATAAATGCACAAGTGATAATGTTCCCCGCAGCGAAAAGCAAAAGACACCAACCGGAGCCAATGAGAAGTAACCAACAGCCAAGATGAATTATGAGATATTAGGATTGCCTCCGGGCCGGGAGGCCTGTCGAGAATGCTGTCGCGAGATGTCATCCTCATCACTGTCATCACCCACGGCGTAATGCTCTCTCTCGAGACCCGGGGAATGAAGGTCGTCGAGCTCGGCCTCGTCGAAATCGCCAGCTTCAACGTCGGCGCCTCCCGTGCGCTTGCTGTGGAACCGTTCTAGAACAGAGCTTCCGCTCATGTCCTTATGCCAGACGCCCCGGTATCCCTGGTGACGCCGGTGGCTGCGCCAGATGAAGAAACCCCAGACGGACACTCCAATGATGACAACGACGAGAACAGCCTCGCCCGATTTGGCGTAGGCTTTCCATTCCGTCTCCTTGATCTTCTCTTTGGCCTGCTCCTCCGCTGCGGTGCTGTTCGGATGACCGCCTACGGATGTCTGGGGCAGCTTCTCGCCGTCAATGCGCGAGTCGGTGGGGCTGCCTCCGATGCTCGCGATATCGACATTCATGAAGCGGTCCAGCATGTCCCGGCTCTGTCGGGGAAGGTCATAAGGAACCATGTGGCTTGCATTATAGATGAGCACATAGGTCAGGTTTCTGGCGTATTGATATATGCCAGCCGGTTCGCCTTCGAAACTCCAGTCGTGTCGAGGAGCCCAGACACCGGGTGAGGTCTCAAAACCGGTGCCCCCGTTCCATTTCATATTGTTGATCAGCTGCTCGGTCCCGACATGGTTGCAAATAAGGTCCTTGTCACCGCTGAAAAGGAGGATTTGAATTCCAGATTCCAGCAGTCCCGGAAGTAGTTGAACGGATGGCACGGACTTCTGAGGATTGAAGGCGCTGCTCACTGCTCCCGAACACTCCACCCATCCTGATTTCTTCTCTGGATTGATGTTGAGCGCTTGCACAACATCTTGCCGCTGCAAGTAGGGTTTCACATCTTCCAAGTCGACCGGCCAGTTCATACCACATGCGTCGGTGCTGTCGCGAAGGCGAATGTCGTACATGTTATAGCATTGGTTGTTTGAGATCGTACTATCCAACAAACCCTTCATAACATCCTCGCAATCATTCAGATGTACCTTATTCTTTCCCGTTTCAAGTCGGGACTGGCAAACTGACTGCAGCACCTCGAGTTCCTTTGCGGTCCTGCTGCCTTCCTTGATGATGCCTTCTTCATATGCATACGGCAAGTAGGAAAGGTACTGTTCAGTTGGAGATATCCAACCATTGCCGATTAGGAGGCCCTGTAGATTCCATCGAGCAATGGTCTCCCCCTGGACATTCTTGTTCCGTTCTTGAATGGCTTTGGCGATGTATGGAATATGTTGACCGGCGTAAGACTCGCCAGCAATGTAGATCTGCCGGGAAAGTCAGAACAAGATCCATAAGGGAGGAATACCGGGGTAGTGCAGGAGGATCTAAGCCTACATCATCGCGTTCATACTCCGGAAACAGCCTGAACCATTCTTCCAAGAAAACGACGAACTGCGCCGACATTTCATTGAGTTCATGGAGATAGCTGTCTGTGTTGACGTAGCTGAACCCGGTTCCGACTGGCTGGTCGACGAACAGCAAGTTGGCAAACTCATCCCAGGACCCCTCGTTGTACACCAAGGTTTCATTGTCCTTCAGGCGATACGGGCCAACCTCCATCAGTGCGCCGTCCATTGAGCTACATCCAGGGCCGCCATTCAACCAAATCACAGTTCGCTGGCGGTTGGCGATATGCCGATTCTGGTAATGCCAGAAGAATAGATTTCCATTGTTCTGCTGGTCCACCTCAATATGGCTGCACGTGGGTGAAGTCAGCATTTGGGCTACGCGGACAGTTCTGGGATGGAGGCTCACCCAGCATGCATCTTCAACAGGGGGCCTTCGGGGGCACCCGGCAAGGAGTGGACATAGTAGTCTGCCGCCGACCTGGCCGATACCAAGGATGGGCTCAGAAGAAAGAGCGCCGAAATTAACCAGGACGCCATCGAGGGAATGGGGGTGGTCTCCCCGCGGAACGATAAGGAGACCATCTGACTGATACGGGGGAATTCAGTGTATATACTGCTGACGACAACGCAAACGAAACGGTCCCAAGCGGACTTGGAGAAGCACTCAAGGAATCATCTATTTAATCGACTGGGCCTTGCGCTTCTTGCCCTCACCCGGTAGGAGATGAGCAGTGCTATCGAGGAGTCTGCCGGCGGATAGGAGCGGGATGCCTCAGGAACAGGCCAAGAGACGTGGAATCAGAGCGGAACGGAGGCAAGGATACAGCTCCCAGGCGGAGTACCGAAAGAATCGTCGCGAGAGAATCTGGGGTGGAAGGGAAAAAAGAGACAGAGGAGGGAGCGAGATGGACTTGCAGTGGATGGATAGAGTGGATGGAGTGTGGATGAGTGGATGGCGTGGCCAGACGGCGGCGGACGGTATGGCGGCGTATCATCCGGTATCTGGGCGATCCCGTTACCTCATTACGTACCGCGCTGTTGGCCGGAAGCCCCTTAAAAGACGGACGAAACCGATCTGGTACCGTCTCGGAACGGTCCCAGCCCATCCTTGCCTATTCGGGGGCTCTATAGGTTGCTTCTATAGAAGGTGTATCTTTCTGATCCCGATTCTGATTCTGGTTCAAATTCAGGAATCAGTCTAGCGGATTGATATTTCATAGTGCCTATCAGACGGACGCCACAAGGCCCGCGTGGCAATGGTTCCAAGTATATTGCCTATACTCCCTTTGCGAAGCTAAGTATCTGTGGCCTCGATACAGCCAGCATTAGCGCCCCTGCCGCATTCCTTCTTGGTCTTGCAATTTTCTATCTAGATCAGATCTCCATGGGTGATCTCTTCATGGTGATTTTGAACAGTTGCTGACAAGTCTAGGCCCGCCGCTAGTATGCATGTCAGATTAAACAAGATCATCGATGCCCTGGTCGGCATCCTTCTTGATCAAGTCAACCATCCCCTGGCATATCGCGTTAGTGGTGCACATTCCATATCGAAAAGCCGCAGCCGGGACGTACTCTGGGCATAATTGGTTCACCATCCTCTCCCTTTACATAGCGGAAGGGCATCTCGGTGCGTTCATGCTCGTTGATCAGAATCTCCGGGTCGTCAATGTATGAGATTTTCTCCAGAGGCACTGCCAGGTGTCAGGTCTCATTCTCTTTACTCACACTGTCACGGGAAGCAGAAGTGACCTTTCTCATGCACAACCATGCGCGTAACACGCACCGCCGTGTCCGTGGTCATCTGCTTAGGGCCCAGCCTTCTTCCGGCATAGCCCTTCTTGCGCAGTTCGGAGGTCCGATCTGATCCCGACTCATTAGCACTCTGAACCTCGCGGTTGCTAGCTTCTTACTGGGAACTTACCACGGGGAGGGTCATCACCTGAAGTTCAGTGAATTTCTTGGGTTAGCTATACTAGGATTCCACTGGGCCGATTGGTACACCCAACAGTTCGGATAAAAGATGGATTGCTCACCCAGGATACCCCCAAAGAGAAAGACATCAAAAGTCTCCGCATCGGCAGGACTCAGCTCAACCTGAGCAGACGGGTCCAACAGACAGACCCTTGATTTCCGGTCTGCAAAGACCTCCTCCACACTGCGATGCTCGACCCCAAGCCCTGGGGTAGCAGTCAGGTCTTCTGGCATCTGTAAAGAGATGGGCACCGAGCTGAGGAGAAATTTGCTCCCCGCTGAGTGTGATTCCCGGGCAATGCAGCCATACTCCAAGGCGGACCAAGCGCCCAGCTCGGGGTCCAAATGCTCGACCACAATGGTCACGGGCTCGGGTGACAAACCTTGCTCGCTCATTCTGTCGCGATTGGAAGGGCTTGTTGTATCCTGCCACCGAACAATGGCTTATATTATTACAGTTGGTGGGGTATCAAGGTAGTAGACTGAACTCCAAAGGGTGTCGTCACAGGGTATAAGCTCTTTTTTAACGATAGATGAGAATGAGAATTTAAGAAAGAAAAAAATAAAATAAGGAATAGACTTGTCAAAGGAATCTCTCGAGTGGGGACTCTAGATAGACCGCAGATGGCGATGAGAACGATGGCCGTGGAGGGGCAGAGAGAAGAAGCCGCCGAATTTGAATCCTTGAAGTCAATTCAAGGGCGAATACTCCGTACCGAGTACCTAACAAGTAACAATACACCCCAGTCAGTCAACCCATCCTCCACCAGAATAGATCACCCCGTTCATATATAGTATGCAATCAGAGGGATCGGGCTTAAACACCTGGTTACTTTGAAGACTTCGATGATGATCTCCAGCCATGGCTGGATCAAAGCTTCTGTTCACGCGGCACTCACTTTCGTGCCTGATGATTATTGGGAGGGGTTGTTGGGTGTGGTTTCTAATCGATAACCGGACTTATCGGGATGATAACTGCTGGCATGCTAGTACGCACTATTATTGTTGTTGGCCTACCGCACAGTACATACTGGAAACTCAAGACAGAGTGACCATTTACCCGACTTCTCAGCAGAGATGGGCTGCATCTTCCTCCTCTTCCACCCATTTGTGAAGCCATGCATGCAGGCACTTCCTGCATCCAGAGGAAGACAATCCAGCAAGATTTCGAGATTGGTGCTGTATGGTACGGTCACCGGTTAGTGGAGTCGTTCCAGAAACCATGGCACTAAGCTGGATGAGGGGGCTCTTTACCAGATTGACACGAGGCTAAGCTATATTAGGGTCTAGTGAGCTGGGGCCAGCGGAGAACAGGGTTGGTAAGGGGGCGGTCATAACCAACCACCGGCGGTGGCTCACCACCTCGATGATCCCCATGACGGCCTGCGCTCTTGTCGTCTTGTCGTCTTGTCGTCTTGTCGTCTTGTCGTCTTGTCGTCTTGTCGTCTTGTCGTCTTGTCGTCTTTATCTTGCTCGGGCGACTTCCCCCCTTCTCCTTCTCGACAACTTCTTCTCGACTTCATCTCTCATCGTCTCACTCGGTTCCCAAATCATCCACTTTCAATTCCGTCGTTCAACGGTCAACCCCTTGGTCTCGCTCATCCCAACCACCACCCCTCCTCCCAAGTCGTCTCATCTTTTTGGATCTATACTTTCCTCCCCGCCATCGGTGGGGTTTCCTGACGACACTTCCAGTTACCGCACCGCATCCAACTACCCGACAACCTGACTGACCTGACCTGACTTCCCCCGCCCAACTCAATTTCTTTGCTCTCGTCTACTGGCGGCTGGTCTCTCATCCCCCTCCCTCCTTTCCAATCGTCGGAGTTCAGCCTTCCATCTCGTCAAGATGAACCCCCACCAGCAGAACAAGATCGATACCAGCGTGAGTCTTGGCCAACAATCCCTTTGTTCCGGCTCCTGTTTGGGCGGAGACTGACATGATGCCCGGCAGAAGATGAGCCCTGACGAGCAACGTCTTTTCCGCCTCTATGGCAAGATGCCCACCAAGAAAGATCTATTGCAAAACAAGCTGAAGGTATGTTGTTTCATTATTGTTTCATTATTCTTGGACTCGGTTCTCGTTCACCCTCTAACGCTGACGGTGATCGTCTAGGAACGGAAGTACTTTGACTCGGGAGACTACGCACTTAGCAAGGCCGGAAAGGCTTCGGACGTTGGTGTCACCAACATCGGCTCTCAACATCCCGTTCCTGAGAACATCCCTCATTTGACGGCCACCTCGCCCGGTGCCAACAATCCTGCCACCGCAAGCAATGGCGGGAGCGTCAGCGCCCAAGGACAGCAGATCCCCGGCAGCATTAGTGGCCATCCAGGCTCCATCGGATTCCAGAGCCGTAGCCCCGTCAAGGAGGCGAGCTATCTGCAACGGGGAACGAGTGTGAATGAAGCCGAGGGGGTTGAGCAGAACAATGATGATAGTATGAGCCCGCCTCCAGCTCGGGGTGGTGTTCCTATTCGGCAGTAAATGGTCGGATGTCGCCTATGTTTTCCTGACCTGTTTGCATCTGTTTTGCTTCAGTCTCGCTATTTTCCTATCGGTGGTGGGTGGCATTAAAAGAGCCTGGCGCTATGGATCAATTCTAATGTATTTACAACATTTGTTTCCCTTTTAATTTTCTGTTCTCTTTTCCTCTTCCATGCTCAACGAAGTTTGTGAATAAATCCGACTGGGTTGGTTTCATGGCCAACAACAACGAAGTTACAAGGGGTCTGAGCATATGACTACTGAACACGACTGTTTGTTGGGATTTGTTCTGAGTTTAACTTTTCGTTTCTGAAATTATCTCTTCTCTGTCAATATCAGTTGCAGATCAGATTGTATGGTCATTAGCGGTCTGCCGACTTGGCTCTGTCTGACTATATGCGAATTGCTTTATCACTGGTCCATTTCATTTCACATGTTACTGATGACAAACACGTCCTCTTTGATAAGTGATTCCCCTCAAAATTCGAGATTGCTTCGCATACAGGTATTTCATGTGTGCTGGATATACGGTTCAATTCAATGATCATACTTTCCCGGGCACCTTTCATATTCTAGCATGGCCAAATGCAATTCACGGTTATCTCCCTCTTCGCGTTTTCGGATTACGGTATCCGCAGCAGCCTATGTTGGTACATGGAAATGAACGCAGATCAGGCGCATACCCAGTCCATTAAAGCCTCGGAGAGCGCAGCACTAGTGCGAGATATTTAATTCGGTTCAGCTGACATCCTGCACTAAGTGTGAACATGAAGATGGCCAACAAAAAGTCGCTACAGACAGAGAACATCGCATCCTCCACCTCGAACTGCCATTGGGTATAAGAACTCGTCTAAGGCACACAAAATCAAATAGCGAAGCAAAGCCGGAGGCTGGTGCAATACATGCAGATATATGATCCCTGGCGCAAGGAGAACAGAGAGCGTGCACGATTCAGCGAAGGACTGAGGGTATAGTAGCAGAACTGGATTGTAGGATCATGGAGAAATAAGGAACAGCGAAGAAGGGTGAGGAAATGAGGCAGGACAGCCCGAGCCGGGTGACTGGTGCCATCAGGGAGTGGAAGGGTACCAGAGCAGCAAAACAAGCAACGGGCAAGCCGCCATCTCATGTGGTTGCTCGATGACCAACACAAGCTATACCAGGTCAGTTCCTCTGGCTGACGGACGATGATTACATCGGTTTGGTATGACTACCTGTGGGCGTGGTCCAAGAGCTATTTGCTGTGTCGCAAGCGTGGAGTCCCGTAGTCGTCCGGAATAGATGCTGCAAGTAGGGACATATGGAAGATCATTGTGCTTCCAGTCCCCTGGGAAGAATATAAGAATATCTGAGATATCAATATGTCAATGCTGGCCTCCGAAGCGCTTTCCCTAGAATCGTTCGAAAAGCATGCACTATCTGCCCGTCACCGTCTAGCTGAACGAGTCAAAATGCTCAGCGGTAACATTGACCTGCGTCATAGGTTTCAATAGACGTCCATGCCCGCGGTACGCGCCATTAAGAACCGTTCTAGACTTTGGTCTGGCTTCAAAGTGGTAAATGGTGAAAAGCCAACCGTACCCGATGAAGACAGTCCAAATCGATGAGATGCCAGAAATGGCACCCGCATGTTTGATGACGCTCAGTCGGTCTTCCAATGACCAGCTAGCCCGGAGTCCAGGTCGTCGTTCTCACCAAGGTATAACTCGACAGCATACAGGGCCATCGTGCCGGCCAGGTTGGCCCACCGCCACAGGTTCCCGCCGCCGGCTCCCTGAGTACTCCACCACTCGCCACTGCCGCCCATCGCTTGGGAGGTAGAGGCAAAATGCTGCATCAAGAGACTGGTGTAGACAGCGATGAGTATCGACGGGGAGAAGTAGCTGAGTACGCCCAGGAACTGGCCAGCCGCATCAGAATCATCTAACGATGCTTCTTGGGAGAGAGCACGTGCGCCCGATTCGCGGACGGCGGGTATGATCCGAGTCGACGCGTATAAAACGATAATGCGGTATGTGAGCGAGATCAGGACGGAAGGAGTGACAGCGCCGAAAACCGCGGTGATCACATTGAAGGCCGCGTGGATGATGGAAGGCAAAGTAGACAAGGCATGCATCAGGGTCGTGTACGAAGCCATGATTATTGGAGGAAGCGGTGGGAAATCCCCCGCTTGGGCGGGAGAAGGAACTTGCTCCATAGGATGTGACGGTTGGTAGTCGGTGAAAATCTGATAGATGCATAGAACGATGTATGCGAACAGCAGAGAACTCTCCACTGGATTCCCACGCCCGCTCCCGATTCCCCACGCGCATAGAATCACCGCACATGTGATGGACACCCCAATCAAAGCAGCGTCGACATTAGAGATCTCGGGGAACTGGAGGACCCGCCAAAGAAAGTAAACGGAGCTCGATATGATGGAGGCCGATAGTACCAGAAGGCCGATCTAATAAAGCACAATCAGCAAATAGGCTCCACGCTGGGTAAACTATTAAGTGACGTGTACGCACCATCCAGCTATCGCTTCGCCCACCACGGTTGACAAGCCACCGGGTAATTTGCCCTGCAGCCTGTATGACCAATAAGCTGCAGAATCCTTCAACCAGCTGGAAAACTGGGGTCGACCATCTCAGCAGCTTATCCCAATTCCCGATCGTTACGGATTCTACCAGCCCGTCGGGCCCAAAGAGCCACTCCTGGATCGACGAGTCGTGGGCCCTTCTCCCCGTGAAGGTTCGTTCCACCCAGGAACCAGCGTTGTCGGTATCGATGGAGAAGCGGTTCAAAGACCAGATAAGCAGAATCGGGATGATGAGCCACTGCGTCGAGCTAATGAGGACGATCAGGGAGGAACGGAGCCATGACCGATCCGGCGTGGTGAGCCGCAGCAGCGAAAATAGAAAATAGAAGGTGGCTAAGGACAGGGAATAGGCCAGACCGCATGTTTTCCCACCCACGTCAAAGGCGAGGGGGATTGAAGAGACGGTGACGGCCAGAAAGACGGCCGACGAAAGGACCCGGAAGAGCCACATCGGACAGAGTGGACCAGACTACCGGACAGGGGTGCGCGATAGAAGCAGACGAGGGTAATAAGGATCAATCTGCTGGACGGAGCAGCAGCAACAGGCACGGTGGACGCGGTGCCAGGTAGACAGCCTCCAAGACTAAATCTTGGAGTGGGAGCGCGAGAGGGTGACGAAATCCTGAGTTAAGGATGCATGAAGCCAGGGTTCCGGTACCTTGTTTTAGAGTAATCCGCTCTGGCAATGCTTTGTCTATGGGGATTAAGAGAGAGAGAGAGAGAGAGAGAGAGAGAGAGAGAGATAGAGGGGGGAAAGCCCTCTTCCTTCAGGTGGTGCGAAGATTTGATCTTATCTCCCAAGCGGGACGGAGGGATGGATATTGGATGGATTGGCCTGGAAGACAGTGGCACGTGCGAAGGACAGATAGTCAGACTGTCAGAATTCAGACAACGCCAACCGATCTCTGGAGTCTGGACGAGCCACGGACAGAGATGCGCAAAGCTTAATGGTCGCAGCGACTTCGCGATGGACAAGTAGGAAGCAAAATCAGGAAAGGGGCACTGACTGGCATCGACGATAGTCGCAATACTAATAATAATAATAGTAATAATAATAATCACACTAATTCATTCCAGTCCAGCGTTCGGCGCAGAACGGAAGGCGGTGGATCTGGCTCGATGCTTAGCCGCTGCAAGTAGCGGTCAGAGTGCAGCAGCTGAGCAGACGATTGGAAAGATGTTGGTGGATTTGGAAGATCCTGGCTGTGGTGTACAGAGTAGATACGGAGTAAGGAGCACTGGTTTCTGAAGTCTGAACATGTTTTCATCTCCAGATAAAAGCACGCGACCGCACGTAATCAGGCATCTACTGTCTATCTACCGCCTACCGCCTACCGCCTGCCTACATATGGAGTCATACAACGGACTTCCTGTTTCGGCCTAATGGCCTGCTCTCGGCCCCCCTCACATGCTCCCATTAAGCCCTATTCAAAGCCCTATTTTGCAGCCGGATCCAGTAAGGCGGCAATTTCAACCCGCCCAGGCCTTTCCACTTGTGGAAGGCGGCGCCCTCCTCCAGGGACCAATCGCGAATCGCGGATACCAAACCGATCCAGGCCCTCGCGGCAGTACTCCAATTGATTTACTCCTCCCCGAAGGCAGCTCAACTTGACCATCGGGAGGAATTCCTACTCTAGGATCCTCCTACCTTTCTACCTTTCTACTTTTCTTTTTTTTTTTATTTCCTACTTTTATATGCTCCGATACCGTCAGTTGTTCAAGATGGTCGAAACTGCCACGAAGAAGGTCAAGACCTCTTCTCCCTTGATCGGAACTCATAAGTAAGTTTCCAGAAAAGCTTCGAAGCTGCTTCTTCTCCGATCGTGGATTCGCAAAATTAATTAATGTTCACTCTACTCAGCGGTCATTTCCACGCCGATGAGGCTCTTGCCGTTTATCTCCTCCGTCTCCTGCCAACATACTCCTCCTCCTCCCTCCTCCGTACCAGAGACCCCGCCCAACTCGCTACCTGCCATACCGTGGTCGACGTGGGTGGAGAGTACGACCCCGCCAGCAACCGCTATGATCACCACCAGCGTGCTTTCGCGACCACCTTCCCCAACCACAACACCAAGCTCTCCTCCGCAGGGTTGGTGTACATGCACTTTGGCCGAGCCATAATCGCCCAACATACCTCGTTGCCCTTGGACCATGAGGACGTTACCCTGTTGTACGAGAAGCTGTATACCGATTTTATCGAAGCCGTCGATGCCAACGATAACGGTGTCTCCGCCTATGATCCCGCCGCCATTTCCGCCGCCAACATCGAGAAGCGCTTCAAGGATGGCGGAATCACGATCGCTTCGGTGGTAGGTGATATGAACAACCCGGACCCTACCTGCCCCCCCGGGGAGCCTCAGGACGAGGATAGTCTGTTCTCCCGGGCTAGCACATTCATCGGAAACGTCTTTGCTCGCAAGCTGCACCACGCCGCTTCCTCCTGGCTGCCTGCACGTACGTCCATCGGTGCTGCTTACCGTTCCCGTCGGGACGTCCACGCTTCCGGTCGCATCCTTGTCTTGCCGCAGGGCGGTATGCCTTGGAAAGAGCACCTCTACAACTTCGAGAAGGAAGCTTCGGGATCAAACGATATTAGTGCTGATGATCAGGTCTACTATGTCCTGTATCCTGAGAGTGCCACTGAGGGTTCTAAGTGGCGCGTGCAGTGCGTCTCCGAAAACGAGGGTAGCTTCGTGTCCCGAAAGCCTCTGCCGGAGGCGTGGCGGGGTGTCCGCGATGCCGATCTCGATGGTGTCATGGCAGCGGAGGCTGAGAAATCAGGAAACCTTAAGGTTCCTGAGGGCGCTGTCTTTGTCCACGCCAGTGGCTTCATTGGTGGCCATCAGACGAAAGAAGGCGCTCTTGCCATGGCCATTCGTGGATTGGAGTAATATGTTACGGATAAAGATAGGCTTACATTTCTTGCCATGACGGTAAGGGTTTTTGATATGGGATTATCTAAAAAGTTATTTTGTTTGAAAATCGTCTTTAGCTCATGGGGATCCATCCGCGGTAAATTTGTCACAACGGTGTCAGATTATCGGCAGGAACTCGTAGTCTACCTAGGTCCTAAGTCCACTCATCGTTTGTATTTCTACCCGTGGGCACAGTGCCCCCAGGGTAAAAACCCCTGTAAGACTCCCAGAAACCTCAGTTTGAGAAGTTTTCAATGTTGTTTTGGGGGGTGGAAGCGACATTATAGTATTGATATCTGTCAGGCTGGGAGTTAAGTGGTGCGAGGAGGAGTGATCAAGTGTGAGATGTACTGAAGAGCAATGAACTGGAGTAACACTAGAGGCGGCCAGCAACACATGAAAGCTCAGATGAGAGTAAACCGTGCCGTAGAAGCGAGAAGTATAATGCAGTCTGACTGGCCAGTGGGCAACTGGAAAGTTTGCGTGGAAGCTTCTCCAGAAGATATCCCTATCCTGTGGAGAAGTTTAGTGTGCCTCAGCAGTACATGACCGAGATGACGTCGAAGCTTGCAGAAATAGAGCAGCTTCTGGGGACTGCCAGTCAGAGAACCTTCGAGAAGCAGGCAAAAGCCGTTGGAGAGGAGCAATCCATCCATCAATGCCGGATGTTCAAGGAACTAATGTCTTCGATGCTGCCGGTTCCATCCCCAGACGTCGGGGGCTCTTTGGCATCGGGATGGATGTCCGAGTTGTCTTCCCTCTCCCCCAACGCTCGCTGGATCAGTTTGGCTTTGATGGCCGCGCCTTTCATACGCTCATCTACATCGTTGACCGCTTCCTCCGTGTTCACCATAGGCAGGGATGCGGGATCTACCAATTCCAGCAGCGTATCGATATTCTTTGCGAGTCTAGAATTAGACGAGAATCTCGACATTTCCTGGCAAATTGCCGGGTCCATTAAGGAGGATCCATCTGGCTTATCACTCGCCAGGGAAGACGAAGGGACCCTCTTGTCCAGGCCGGCCGGATCGGAGTTGTTAGACGGCTGATAATCTGCAAGTCGTTGAGCCCAGACCAGGGCTTTGCCGTAAAATCTTCCCAGTTCGACGAACTTCTCGAATCCTTTCTCGACAGCAAAAACACTGCCCTCGGTGTATCCGGCTTGCGCGCCATCCGCAACTCCTAGATCGTAGCCTTCTTTGTAGAAGTCTTCCTCCAGATCGAGGAGGCTCTCAAGCAGGTTACACTCCATGGTGCTAGTGCACAACGAAGAGACAGAGAGAGGGAGGGAGTAGGGGAGAGACGGTAGAAGACTCAGCGAGGTGACGATGAGATCTCCCCGTCGGTGAGATGTTAAAGGGGCCACGCCAGAGCGCTATCTCGAAAATCACAATGCGGATCTGCAGTCGCCTGGCGCCGAGTGTGGGGAAGGAAGAAGAAAGAAGGCAGAGTGCGGAGAGTCGCGGCTGAAAGCGCTTCGAAGTTGGATGAATCATCCGCACCCGCGAAAAAGTTGCAACATCTCTAACCCCTCCATCCGCTGATAAACAACCCCGCCATCCGCCTCCCAACCCATCATGGCTTCAGAGTCCAAGATCCTGCCCAAGCAGGGCCAGCGCAACATCCTGGTCACTAGTGCCTTGCCCTACGTCAACAACGTGCCTCACTTGGGCAACATCGTTGGCTCCGTTCTAAGTGCCGATGTCTTCGCCAGGTATCACCCTCTCCCTTCCCTTTGTCCGATTCCTGTTGCTTGCTCGCCACCCATGCCGGTCCTGCGGTGCTGACCCGGATCTTCAGATTTCACAAGGCATGCGGACATCAAACACTGTTCATCTGTGGTACTGATGAATACGGAACGGCGACGGAGACCAAAGCTTTGGAGGAGAAGGTGACGCCGGAAGAGCTCTGCGCCAAATATAACAAGATCCACCAGGAGGTGTATGAGTGGTTTGAGATTGGCTTCGATCACTTCGGTCGCACCCCGACAAAGCAGCACACCGAAATCTCTCAGGCCATCTTCAAGAAGCTGTACGAGAACGGCTATCTGACCGAAAAGACGGCGGAGCAGCCGTTCTGTGAGACCCATGGATCTTTCTTGGCGGATCGCTACGTGGAGGGAGAGTGCCCTCGGTGCCATTATGACGATGCTCGTGGAGACCAATGTGACAAGTGTGGGCATCTTCTCGATCCTTTTGATCTCATCAACCCGCGCTGCAAGCTCGACGGCGCTACCCCCATCCGCCGCTCGACGAAACACATCCACCTCCTCCTCGACAAGCTTCAGTCTCAGATTGAGGCCTGGTCTCAGAATGCCATCGAAAAGGGTGACTGGCCCAAGAACTCGCGTGTCATTACCGAATCCTGGTTGAAGGAAGGCCTGAAGGACCGCGGCATCACGAGAGATCTCAAATGGGGTGTCCCTGTGCCTTTGGAGGGCATGGAAAACAAGGTGCTCTATGTCTGGTTCGAGGCCTGCATTGGATACCCCTCCATCACTGCCAACTATACCCCGGATTGGGAGCTCTGGTGGCGCAATCCGGAGGATGTCCAGCTGTATCAGTTCCTGGGCAAGGATAACGTTCCATTCCACAGTGTTATCTTCCCAGGCACCCAGCTGGGAACCAAGGATAAGTGGACCATGCTTCACCACCTGAGTACAACGGAATACTTGAACTACGAGGGTGGCAAATTCAGCAAGTCTCGCGGCATCGGTGTCTTTGGCACTAGCGCCAGGGAGACGGGTGTGCCCCCGGATGTGTGGCGCTACTATCTCCTGAAGAATCGTCCCGAGACCGGAGACACTCAGTTCGAATGGCGCTCCTTTGTTGAGAGCAACAACAGTGAGTTGCTGGCCAAACTGGGCAACCTCGTCAATCGTGTCATCAAGCTCGTTATTGCATCTTACGGCTCAGTTGTTCCCGAATTCACTGTTCCCGAAAGCTTCCAGCCTACCTTGGACGAGGTGACGGCGACTCTCCAGCAATACGTTGAAGAAATGGAGGGTGCGCACCTCCGCGCCGGTGTCACCAGCGCGATGAAGCTGGCTGAAATCGGAAACGGGTTGATTCAGGCTAACCGCCTTGATAACTCCTTGATTGCCAACGAACCCGAGCGTGCTGCGGCGGTCGTCGGTACTGTGCTCAACTTGATCCATCTCCTGGCTAGCGTTTTCGCTCCCTACCTTCCCGCCACGTCCAAGTCGATCAACGAACAGCTCAACGTGCCATTCGGATTGATCCCCTCTCTGGAGGATATCAAGGACGGCTGGAAGCCGGCTGTCATCAAGTCCGGTCACAAAATCGGAAAGGCCCAGTACCTTTTCTCCCGGATCGACCCCAAGAAGGCCGATGCATGGCGTGACATGTTCGGTGGCTCCCAGGCGGACAGGCAGAAGAAGGAGGAAGAAGCTGCCAAGGCAGCGGTCAAGAAGGCCGCCAACGCCGCCGCCAAGGCCAAGAAGAAGGAGAAAAAGGCCAAGGCTGCTGCCGAGGCTGCCGCTGCTGGTGGCGAGCCTGTAGAGGCCTCCGCCAAAGGAGGTGCCCAGGCCACGGATGTCACCAGCGATGCCGTCGAGAAGGTCACCGATGGCGTGGCCCAGGTCACGATCCCCTCATCCTAAATAGAATTCAACCTAGTCCGTACTCGAACGACAGCGTCTATAGAGTGCAGTGACTACTGACTCCTTGATATCCTGATGATTAGAGCGTTCTGTCTTTGTTAGGTGTTGATACATACAGACATGTGTCAGGGTCGATATGAGCTACGATACAGGTGAAATAAGGAATTGATCGATGGGTACTAGTTCACTAGTTAGTTCTGGTTGTCTTGCTTTAGTTTTTCCTTTCCGCCTTTCAACAATACTCCAGACTTCAACATGGGTTTAAATTCATTTCATTTTCTTATCTTATCTTGGGAAAGAGAGAGAGTCAGGTTGTAGGCCCGGTGGACAATCCACCCATTACAGCCCCATCTCAAACAGCTACATTGGGTTTCCTCTCTCTTTTCTTCTTTTCTTTCCCCTTCTCCTTCGAAGGAATGACCTGTCCCCGAAACCCCAGGCAACACAATTAACCTAAAATGAATCGCTCATATGCATTCCCAGAGAACAATAATAATAAAAGGGTACATGATACGTGGATGAGATAATAAAAAAAGAAAAGAAAAAGAGATGGCAAGAACATGGCAAGAACATGGCTTAGCCAATCCATGTATAGGCCGAGCATGATACTCCAGATAATGAGCCCTGAGCCCAGTCTAGGTTGGCTCCCTCCCAACGACGCCCCCATTCTCAGATCCGCAAGCCAGCCTCTCCATTACCTCTTCCGGTTGCCCGGCCGGGGCTTCACCTCTTCTGGGCCGACGGGGTGCAGCATGACCTTATTGGCCAGTTGCTGGGTGTTGGCAGAGTAGCCCTTGCTCCAGTCATAGCTTACAGCGTATGCGAAGATGTTGCCGCTGCGATTGAAAGCGGTGCTGGAGATAGTGCCGCCCACGGAAGGGTATCCCTTGAGACGGTGCTTGGCGTCCTTGTCCCAGAAGTGGAACGTGCCGTCACTGCCGGCGGTGCTGAACGTACCATGGACAGGGTGGAAGGAGATGGAGTTGACGGAGAAGATGTTGTTGACTTCCCGCTGGGGGGTCTCGCGGTGGCACTTGAAGCTGAAGTTGGAGCTGGAGTCCTTCTCCTCGACATACTGGATAGCGCAGCGGCCCTCGACGCTGCCGACGGCGAAGCCGGTGGCGTCGGAAAAGCAGCTGACTACCCGCGTCTGCCACTTGAGCGGGGACTGCATGGTCTTGTAGAATTTGGTGGGGTTGTCGAGGTTGATGATGTTGATGTACCGGTCAGCGGTGCCGACCACGAGGAGCTTGTTCTTGACGTCCATGGTGTAGACTCGCTCCTGACACTCCACCGCCGCAATTGGGGTAGATTGTCGCAGGTCCCAATATTTCACGGTCTTGTCCCAAGAGCCGGTCACCAGAAGCGGACTATTGCCAGTCGGGTTCGGAATCATATGGCAACACTTGATGGGCGCATCGTGGGCAGCAACTTGGACGGGGGTGGTCGCGTTGGCTGCGAGATCCAACATACGAGCGGCTTTATCGGCGCCAGCTCCTACCACTTTCGTACCATCCTAGACAAACAGGGACCGTGTCAGCGGGCCAGTAACGCTGCGGCGGGGAATGGAGGAAGCTCACCGGTGACCAACAGCAATTTAGAACAGGGGCCTCGTGCTCGAACAGAGCTTTGCCTTCGCTCTGGCCCTGGTCGTTGATCTCATAGATGCGAACTTTCTTGTCCCACGAGGCGACTGCTAGATGGTCACTAGCGGGCGAGAACCGGAGATCCGAGATACTGTCCTCGGGAGGAGAATTAAGAGCGACATCTTTCGATATATCACCCGTGGTGTTGGTCTGACCAGCCGTGGTCGCCGACGCGCCGACACCACCGAAGAGCGACATTCGAACGGCACGATGCTACGCTGTTCTACTCGATTAGGCGAAAAGTGCACAGCAAGGAAATTGAGGGGATCCGCAGCGCGAGACGAACAAGGAAAAAGCAGACGTGACTGAAGGCGGGAAGGCAGCGAGACTGATCGTACCCACGCGATTGCGCAAGACTCGAGGCGCAACCAGCCGAGTTGACTAAAGGGCGTTATTAATCTTGCAGATGGCGAGAGGCGCGCTAGACCGGCAGCGAGAGCAGCATTCAAGATCGAAGGAATGAATGAATGGCACGAATGCTCCCTCGTTCAAACGGGCAATAATTGATCGAATATCTTTCTCGCCGTTCGCCCTCACCGCCTCCAAACAAGACAAACGGCTGAGTCAGCGGCCAGAGCATTAACGTATTTCATAAGCGAGCGGCGCACACAAGCGAGCGGCGCACCTCCGCTTCATTCCTGCCCATGGGCCAAATACTAGAGGCTTTATCAATAAAAAATTACATTTCTATCTAAAAATTAATTAGGAACTTGATTAAGATATTATAATCACCTATGTTCTAAAATATGATAATCACTGCAGTGCAGGGGTGCTCGTACGCGTGGTCTATCTATAGAAAGTACAGGATCTAGAGAAAGTATATTTTGAGCTTCATCGACCTGATTCTCACGCTGAAATTACTCTAGACTATTCTAAATAGTTAATCTCTCTATAATTTCTTACTGTCTAGTAGAGCACTTTCTTTTTCAAAGCTTCTTTATATTAAAAGCGTGTAATTCATGGATTTCTTTACATATAAGAATAGGCTTATTAAGATATAATTTATAATCTTTAATAAGCTTATTAAACCGTGCTTTTAGTAAAGATAAAGAACTCTGTATATATGTTCTAAGCAGCTGCTTCACAGTAGATACCTGCTTTTCAAGCTGTCTAGTTATATAAGGTGTTTTTAGAGCTGTACTGATTAATTAACTGTTTAATAATATAGAAGTCTTTAGCTGAATATTCAGCTAACTGAATACCCTATCTAGATTAAATAGAACTAGACCAGCACCTATAAAGCTATTCTGAATAATATCTATTTAAAAAGTATGTTTACAAGCTTGTGGAAAGGCTTCTAAGAAATCAAGCTTATTAATATAGTTAATTTCTAAGCATGCCTGCTTCTCTATCAAGCTACCGTATGCCCGCTTTAGAGATAAATAGCAGCCAATATCTAGAGGCTATAGTAGATATAATGAGTGTACAGGTATATAGATAGAAATAATATTATTCTTACTATATATTTGATTGAACTGAGGTATTAAATGACTACTATAGTTATCAAGAATAAGAAGATAATATCTACTAATTATATAACTAGTACTAAGAATAAAGAGATTTTGAAGCCAGCAAAGACCTATCTTGTCTGTAGTCTATCTATTAAGACTAACCTTAATCTTATTATCGCGTGGGAGTTTGATATCTTGATACCAATTCTCTATATAGATCTTGCCTTTAAAGATCATATATAGAGGAAGTGCCCAACTAATTAAGTTAATATATTTAATTAAAGTAATCTATTCTTAATTATCTGGCTATATAAGAGAGGCCTTTCCATAATAGTCAGCTCTAGTAACTGTCAAACCCTAGGATCGCTTCCCTGTTCCTGTTAGCTTAGCTTCACTGGTATACGTACATTCGAACTGAATTGAGGATATATCAGGCTGATGACTATCTAGGAATAACTGGTCTTGAATAAGAGAAGAGAAGTAAGGCTAAATAGTACCGCGTAACTACCCGTAAGTGAGTATAGATAAGTATTAGTTATTAAGCTTCTAAGTATATGATTACTTAAAGATAGTGTTATTAAGCATGAAGAACAGAACTAGTTAAGTATATAAAGAAGTATTTTTATATATCCTATTCTTTATATACCATATTATATACTATCCAGGATAGATCAATGATTAATCTAATCATGATCCAGGATCTTAATATACCTTGTATATATCTTTAATAGTAGATTTGATGATAGATAATCACGTGATATAAAGTTGTTCTGGATGTTACTCAGACCGGGATTTTACTCAATAAGAGTTACTGGTTATCCAAGACTTGCCTTATCGATGTTTTCTGTCTAACAAGTCTGCTTTGCTAGTAATCTGACTAGTAGGGGTCTGTAACATCACTCCCCCTTCTTCAAGATTTCTTATTCTCAAGAAACATAAAGATGTGTATCCCCCCCGTGTGTGTTGGCTGGGTTCTTTAGTTTCTCTTTTTCTCCAGGATGGGTTAACATATCTTGTTATTATACTAATCATGACCGGGTGAAGGAGCGTATTTGTTAATCTAATGAGATTTATAAGAGCAGGCATATTGTTAAGAATTTTTATAAATATTACTTTCTAAAAGGTATTCCTTGTATTATAGATTTGAAAAGTTGAAATTGTGCTGCTTGCACTTGTTACAGTCAGAAATATAAGAAATGATTTTATAATGATAAGGAGTAGAATAAGTTAAAGTAAAATCAATTAAAAGTTGTTACGAACCCCTGCTAGCTAAAGGGACTAGTGAGGCGGTTACGTCAGGCAGAAGGGCTACACCCGGAGAGGTGCAACTCTTATCAGGCAGAACCTGAACTGAGCCGCTACATGTCACGCATCACGTGACTGCGGGTATATGAAAGGGTATATGAAAGGGTATATAGTATATACCTGTGGTATATAAGATGGTATATAATATGGTATACAGAGGGCAGGATATATAAGGACACTTCTTTATATACTTAGTTAATTCTGTTCTTCATACTTAATATAACTATCTTTAAGTAACCATATGTTTTGATAAAGCTTAATAATAATACTTGTCTGTACTTACTTACGGATAGCTGCACGGCACTATCTGGCCTTACTTCTCTTCTTCTGTTCAGGACCAGTTCTCTTTAGATAGTCATCAACCTGACTTACCTTGACCTAGTTCAAAGGTATGTATCAGAACGACAGCTAAGCTAACAGGAACAGGGAGAAGCGATCCTAGGGTTTGACACATTGAGCACCAGTCAGTACGAGTATTATCCAGTAATAATTATTCATTATGTTAACTATATTAAACTCATCACGCGCCCTATAGCAGCAGGGCTTGATAATACAAGAACTGATAGATATGGTTAGTTAGTTATAAGAAAGCATCACTGCCTTAAAACAACAAAACCAGTTACTCAAAGATCGCTTAGCAGTCAAATCTGTTAAGGTCCGGCCACCCGAGCCATTTGACAGCAATCAAGCAAAGCTCAGGGCTTTCTTGACCCAGTTAGATCTGTATCTTAACATAAACAAGGAAAAGCTCAAGAATAAGGAGAACAAGATCTTTTTCACGTCCACTTACCTGATTAGATTAATATTTAACTAGTTTGAACCATATATCTGAGAATGACAGGAGAAGTTAATAAGTAACTAGAATAATGATATAAAGTAAATCTTTATTAATTATACTAGATTTAAACAGTATCTTGAATAGATATTCAGAGATATTAATACAGCACAGAACACTGAGTAAAAGTTATAGTAATTTAAACAGACTAGATTAATATCTAAGTATGCTTCAGAGTTTTTACAAGTTACTAGTTACTTAGATTAGAATAATAACGCCTACATTGCATGATTTAAAAAAGAACTCAAGATAGAGATCCAAGAGAAACTTATCTAGCAAGAATAACTGAATATATTACTAAAGATGATTAAAGCAGCAGTCAAGATTAATAACAAGTTATATAAATACAACATAAAATAATAAAAGGATTAATAGACTAGTAAGTCTATATCTTAATATAATAGCTAATCAGATTACCGAGCTAATAATAGAAGATCAGCATAATCTAGAAGCTTAGAATATGAAGATCTTTACAGACTAAAACCAATGGAGCTGGATGCAGCACAGCATCAGACTTAATAAACTTAAATATTTAAGAAGGAACTTGAATAGTATAAACAAGACTGCTTGTGCTTTAGCTGCGGTAAAGCAGGTTACTAGTTAAAAGATTATAATCAGAAATAGTAACAGTCTCAGAAGTAGTTAAGAACTATAAACCAAGATTAAGATAGAAGAGTCTATAATATCATTATTATTTAATATAAAGTTTAGATAAAATCTGTAACATGGACACTAGATAATAAGAAGTTATATATTATTTAATATAATTAGCTGTTAGAGAACAAAATATATTATGATTAGTTAAGATAACAGATCACTATAAATAAGCTAACAGTACTATCCAGTTAATAAGAGGATTGATAATTATCTATACTATTAATTTGGACCACAAAAGTTAATAATAATAATTATAAGTTAGTTTTAAGAAATGATTATCCTAGTATAGTTTGGAATGAATTTGAACTGTTAGATAAAGAGTATAATACTCTATTTAAAGATCTTAAATCCAGTAAGAAAAGACTTAATAAGATATCTGATACCCTGAAAAAACCCTTATTAGAAATTAATAAATCTTGTCTATCACAGCGAGATGAGGATAAGGAGAACCAAAAGAATGATAAGAAAGATATTACTTATTAATTAGACTATATCTTAAAAGAGATCTTAGAGAATCCAGCATAATTCTGTCTAAAGCTTAAAATAATCATGCAGTATTGCCCACATTGGGACTTAAGATATTGGGAATCATGGAATAAGACTTGGAAATAATATTTATAAAGATATTCTTATTACTTAAAAGTTTGTCTGATATATGGACAAGATAATATAGACTATTATCACTAGTTATTAAAGATTAGTCAGAAGATAAACGTTGTAGGAACGGAATCTTGATACAATAAACCATGTGTTACGGACCCCTGCTAGCTGAACGAACTAGTAAGGCGGACTCGCTAGGCAGAAGGCTACGTCCGGAAGGCAAAGGACTCTTATCAAGTAAAATCCTGATCTGAGTAACCTATGAACCGGGACGGTTACACAACACGTGACCACAACAGACATATCACTGACACGCTATAACATGGCAGCGCTACAACAGAATATGGCAGTGCTATGACAG